AAAGCCATGTACTTTGGCCACATGATTATTAACCCTTTCAGACTCTTCCATGTGTGTAAGGCTGGATTTCCAATAGAGGAGCCCTCCTGATTCTTCCCAAGTAGGTCACATTCATCTTGGAGGCCGTGTTGTTGGAAAATGTTTTAGTGAGATACACGTTGTGCTTCAGTAAAATCAGCTGCTTGGTTTCATRAGTGAGTGGGTGAATGCAGTAGATAGAAGGGCAGGGCTGTGACATAGTGGCCTCTTTGGGTTATAAGCTCTGAGAATTTGCTTTTAGCTCCTTTGTAAGCAGATCTTGCAGTTCCTGAATCTTTTCCTSGTGTTTAACTCCAGCAGAGCTCTAGCTGTTGTCAGGTATTCCTGTCCATATATTACAGTGTATGCTGTCCAGTGGTTGTAATTAGAGGTAGGACACTGGGGACGTTTTGCAGCACAATTACTGCTCTGGCACGTCAGGCAGGTCACTAAACCTTTAGCTTTCAGAGTGTTGCCCAGCATCTGTCAGAGATGTATTGCAAGGTGTAATGAATACCTCGGAGGACACTTAAGATCCCGGGCTGAAGAGTCTGCCAAAAGTGCTGRGTGTGATTACTGATATGGTTTAAGGCACACAGGAATGCTGCCCTGAGAGMTGTGAATGGAAGGCTTATATGAAAAGCAAATACCAGTTGCTGGCAAGACCGGGGCTCTTGAGGCTTTTCTTTTTTAGCTGTTTTATTTTTGTAAATAAAACAATCATAAAAAAAGCCACAACTTGCACCAGAGTGTTGGGCGGTGGCATCTGCCATTCACAGAGCTCATTCAGCCACATGCAAAGAGTTAAAATAAGAAGCCAGCTATTCTAGTAGACCTTGCAATATTATAAACCTTTAAGAAATGATGAATACACTCTCTTGATGAATATTCATGGCCCTTCTCACATTGAACCAATACATAAGTYCTTGCTTTAGTTCTCAGTAACTATTTACTATACAAGTTTTTATATAAATCTGTACTGTATCAATACATATAGTATATGGGTGTTTTGTCCAAAAATGGGTGTCAAAATGCAATCATGATCTTCAGGGCAGGAGCTGGTGAGTAGGATGGAGGCACCTTTAAAGACTCGGCTTTTGTGTTTTTGTGAAGGCTGCTGTGCAAATCCCAGGCCAGTGAGATCTGAGAGGGCAACATTCAACGAAGCATCTCATGACTTCCAGGAAAGGCAACAGCAAGTAGCTGAAATTAGGCAAAGTTTARTAAAAAGAATGTCCCTCTGTGGGAATTAAGGTAATTGCTCATAATGGGACATATAAAACATGATGAATCAGTCATTCAGGGCTCGAGTCCTCTGCCCTCTTGTTTTAGATAGATCGTCTGTTCTTTCAGTTTTTGCTTGCAGASGAGTTTTAAGATGGAGAATAGGAATCCCAACAGAATATCATGGATTACTAAATCTACTTATAAATTCCAGAATTTGGAGGATTCCTTGCAGAGAACTTGTTTTTCCTAACCACACTCTAGCCTTTTAAGCAGTGCTTTCCTGCTCAGTGCTTAGAACCAGTGCTTTCTTGCTTAGATCCTGTGACTTACTAAAGCTGTCTCTTCTCAAGTCCTACTAGGCCCCATATTTAGCTCTCACCGGTGCTTGTGCTTGGCAATAACGGTCTCCTATGCTTTATGAAGACTCTCAAAGCTTTGAAGCTTTCACATCTTTCTCAAACAGGAACCGAGCACTAATTCCTTGTGCTGTCCCAGTGTTTAGGAGGTCTAGGTTAGACCTACAGCATCCAGGCAAGGGTTCAGCCAGTTCTGAACTGAATTTTCTGTTCTCTGGCAAATTTACTTATCTTAAATGAATGTGCCTCTCTAACCCATCTCTTCTGGGTCACATTCCTGACCATGCTGACATGTGCTCACAACAGGAGGAACAATTGGAGCACAAAAGAGCTACTGGTGAGGTTGCCTACAGCCAGTTCTTCCAAGTTGTTTTAGAACAGAGGTGAGTGGAGTTTTCAGTCTTCTCAGGAGCCATCATTTTTATTTTGGGACACTTCCATTTTTTACAGGTAAAACAGCGGTTCCTGGAGCTTGGCAAATATATCCCCAACATTTTTACTGTTGAACTGGGAAATAGCTTTTTCTAGCATTTTTTCTTGCTAAAGAAGAAATCTTATTACAAAAAAGAGTGAAGGCTTGAAAATTTTGCGTTCACCTTGACGTGGCTTGTGTCTTCACTGACACTTGGCTTTCCCTGACACATGTTGTAAGGCTGACAGCCAGGGGTGTGGGCTGCCACCTCTCTGCCCACTGCTTCCCAACGCGGCCGTTTCTTTATTTTTGGACAGTAACACYGTGAGATTTTCTGGGTGCTTCACAGCTTGTCTACAGACTCCTACATTTCTCTTCAGAGTTAGAGAAGCTTTGTTGTCCTGCACCTTGCTTGACACTCTCAATGTTTGTAAGAATTGCAGATGCAGTGCCACCAACTTCGTTTTATGCAACCTTTTGATGTTTAAAAGTTCCTTTGAAGTGCTAACTCTTCTCCTTGTGTTTATCCCTGTTCTGTCAACTCCTGGAATTTTTGCAAATCCTCTCTTACAAATATTTCACTACTGAGATCGCCCATGCACATACAACAGTTGCAGGGCACAGTGACTGTCCCATCCCTGTTATTCCCCTCTACSAGCACAGCTCTGTGTCACAGATCTTGTGTTACAGTTGTCCCCTGTAGCAGATAACRCCATGTCCTGGAAAATATTCAGTTGTAAGAAGCACTAAATCACATTGATGCTTTTATTTTTTTTCCGTGCAGGAAAAGTTAATATTCTTATAATAATATATACTCAAACATATGCTAATATAATCTTATGACTCTACTTCCGTAGTCATTCTGTGACATAAAAAGACTTTATTTTACAAATTGGGTAACATTAGTGAATGCCCATGTGCTTATCTCTTGCATCCTTTATCTAGCCCTAGTTGCACAAAAACAAGAAAATGGAAGTTACGAGTACGTAAGTCTTAACCTTGCCAATATAACCTATAGGGTGGAGCTAGTGCATGGATGCACTGTGCATATGTGGGGCACATCACTGCAAGGTGAGTGCAGAGTGGGTATAAGCCGCCTGCAAAAGAACCAGGGAACATTTTGCACTATGGATTTTGTGGAAGTTATTTAGTACCCAAGTGCTCACCGTGGATAGGGTTGTGACAGCAACTTCCATTGTTCCATAGCAGTGAACTAAATAGTACATAAGACTTAGTAAAAATAGCCCTGCATTTTGGCAGAGGGGGGACTGGAGCCTGGACCTTTTCTGCTATAGCCCTTGACCTGCCTTTCCTAAAGCTACTTCTGTTAGAAGACCTTAGTTCAAAGGCTGGGGGTTAAAACTCCCTTTGCTCTGCTGGGCTCATGGGCCTCTCTGAACATCCCCTCCAGCAGCGGAGCTGTCCTTGGCTTCATAATTTGCAAGTGCTTTAGTCCTGCATTGCAATATACAAAGTTGTCCTATTGGCTTTCTTGGACCTGAAAGGCAGGGTCCTATCTAGTCCCAGGGGAGAGAGACCAGTCAAGGCTGGTGAATGAAACAGTCACATCAGAAGAGCAAAGTGGGGTCCCACCCCTTCTAGTGGCTTGCTCGTATAAGACCAAATTAAGATGCTGCTGATTCAATTAACATTTAAACAGATTTTCACATGATAACCGTGCCATTCACTTAGTCTGTGCTTCAGCCAACAGTGAAGGATTTAACAGTGCCAGTCAACTAACTGCTGTCTCTCTGGAATACCTCTGGGCTTGTGTCTTGCTGCTGTCCCCTCACAGCCCACTGATCTCCAGACCTCCAAAAAGCTGGATTCAGCTTGGCTTGCTGCTTCTGAGCTATGAGCAAGAAACACCTTGTCTGCCAAGGGAATTAGTCCTTGCTCAGAATAACTGTTCATAATATTCTCTCTAGAAAAACTTTAAAACATTGCTTATTTATCCACAGCGGTGCCACCATCAGTGTGTGACATCATATCCCAGTATCATTTTTTCATTTCATTCTGTTTCCTTTGCCAAGATATTCTTCTTAACTATAGTATGCTTCACTTCAAAGACCCCGTTTTTTCAATTCAGAACCCCATTTTCAGATACACAGTGAGATCCAAAGACGTGGTACACAAGACATCCTAAAGGTCACTATGTGTTTTTCAGAATCTAGGAGAGTTTGTTTTTGCTTTTGATTTGGTTTGATTTTTCATTTTAACAACAATTTAAACCTGAAGGAAACATTTATCTGGTGAGTGGGCCCAGCTCTCCAGCCTGAGGCAGAACCTGGCAAAAGGCAAATTATCAGATTTAGTGGGATTTGGAGTAAATACACCAGAGGACTGGGTTTGTCATGGAAGGCCTGAGAAGATAAGAAGAATCAACCAGGTCCCATCTGCTGGCAGATGTTGTCACTTCACTTACCTCTGGCAGCACCTGAGAGGAGCAGGGCAACATCTGTAACTAAGATGAGCTGGTACTTTGCGCCATGAGCAGTGGCCTTTGCAGACATCGGGGATGGAGCCAGTGTCTTCCTTTGCGGTTTGCTGGTAAATTAGGGACAAAGACAATTAGGCCTCTGCCTTGGGAGAGGGGATTTCCAACACACCGTAGACTCTGTGACTGTCGGGCAGGTCTTGACTGATCCTTCTCCTAGGAATGCTTTCTGTGTGTTTCACATGATCTCCAACAGGTCACCACTCGCATAAGTAAAAGATGTAGGTGCCAGTTGTTATTAGGAAGAGGATATGGCTGGAAGCATGATTCTTCTGGAGCTCAGTCCATCCAGGGCCAGCCACAGGATCCTGTGGTTCAAGGGCTGCACCAGSAATCAGTTTCTTTTTCTGGCATGGAGAGCAACAGCCTGTGCATTAAGGGGGCTGTGAATACTGCAGGATTTTCCATTACACTGTTTAAAGATGGAGGCTGCTCTTGTTTTGATTCTCACCTGATTTAATTATATTTGCTTTTTCTCTTTTTATTTCAGTTGTGATTCCAAAGAGCCCTTTACCTGCCTCCGAAGTAAACTCGGAGAAACCTAGCATGCACAGTAGCACAAAGACTGTTTTGGGGCATCAACAAGGGCAAAGGCGTCGCAAAACAGGGAAGAAGCGTGGTCGAACCACCAAAGCACTAATCCATCACCCCATGCCTACACCCTCCAAGTCAGTGGAGCCTTTGAAATTCCCCAGAAAGAGAGGCCCAAAGCCTGGCAGTAAGGTAAAAGCTGATGCTGATACAGGCGGGTGAAAAGCAAATGCTGCAGATTCTGCCATGGGATGGTGCATGCGTGTGTTTGTGCACGTTTGTCTCAGCCTTTGGCTATCTAACTGCAGCACCTAGAAGCMCAAAGGGGTATACAGGACTGGGAATATTGCATAGACTCCACCCCTAGAGCCTTAGAGAAAGTCTGTGTCTAAAACATCATTTCCATCAAGAAGTTTGTCTTTGGAGCTGCGTTAGCTGTGGAGTAGCATGGTAGATGCTGTGGTCATGACAGGATGGCCAAACAGTGGAATAACCTTCTGCGTCCATCATATGTACCTAATCTAAGTCAGGCAGAGATACAGCTCTCAGCCTTGGGTTTTTCTTCAGGATCCTGGTTTACAGAATATACACATACTGATTATGTAGGTTCCCAAGACTCCCCATCATCACCGTCAGAAATGTGTCATGTTTCACAGTGCTTTGTTTGTTGGATGCAGAGAGAGTGTAGTGATTGTGGATGGTAAAAGAGAACAGGGGTAAAAGGAGAAATTTCCTCATCTTTTTCTGCAGAGGAAACCTAGGACATTGCTGAATCCAGCACCCACATCTCCAACAACCAGTACCCCAGAACCAGACACAAGCACTGTGCCACAAGACGCTGCTACCATCCCCAGCTCTGCCATGCAGGCTCCCACAGGTAAGGGAATCTTGAATCACATTCTGGAAAAGATGATAGTTAGAAGCAATGTCATTCAAAATGACACATCAAGATACTTCCTTTTCTTAGCCAGCGAGCGGTACCATTCCAGAAACAAAGAGTGTGAGATAATACAGAGTGTGGCAAGAGGAAAAAAGACAAACATCTCCTGTTATTTTATCTCTTTTTCTATATCAGCAATACAGAGTCATGGGAAGGCAGCACATCCATTTGGTCAGTACAAAAAGCCCTTTTCCCGAGTTATCACCTACATGTTAGTGACTCAAAAGCTCTGGAAGGGCTCGTGACCTATCCCATCTAGAGGCAGTGCTGTGTGCAGCACCTCTCTTGTGAGATCAGAGATCTCTCAGATCATTCCAGAAACAGTTGCTGAAGCTACAGAAAGATTCAGAATAAYTCCCACTGAAAGACGATGGCAAATGGTCTGCTCAACTTCAGTGAGGATATCAAGGCAACCAGAAAAACTGGGCAAGGGGGAAGAGGAAAGATGTAGGAGCAGCCAGTGCAGAGTATAGGCTCTGCTACAACTTTGAGATACAGCTGAAAATGAATCCAGGAAGGAAAGTCTAATGTAAATATGCATTTTGTATGTTTTGGCAAGCAGTGAGTATGGATCAAGCTCTCTGCTTCCCCTGAACATAGTTGACCCATTTCCAGAGGAACCTAAAGAACCCAGTTCCTCCAAGCTCTAGGAGAAACAGTGAAAAGTAGGRGCTCCTTCAGCCTCTTTGAACATCTCAGTTGTGCCTTCTGGCTGGCAGGGGAGCCCCCTTGCAACCCGCCTTTGGGAGCTTGAGCACTGGGAAGGGAACAGGAAAATTAGTAGCAGCTTGGAGGTAAGGGTGAGCCACATGGTTTGGGGAGATAATGCCCTTCTAAAAGGGACTCTGCTGTTAGGTTGCAGACAGGCAGTGCTGGTGAATCCCCTGTGTGATTGTTTTGACAATCTTAAAACCTGGGCATCTCTCAGGTTGGCTTTTAGGCATCCATTTCTTGCTTTCTTGAGTGGGTTAATGGCAAACATATCTCTCATCTTGGCAGTTTGCATTTACTTGAACAAGAACGGCAGCACGGGGCCCCATCTAGACAAGAAGAAAGTTCAGCAGCTGCCTGACCATTTTGGACCAGCTCGGGCTTCTGTTGTCCTGCAGCAGGCAGTGCAGGCCTGCATTGATTGCGCTTATCATCAGAAAACCGTCTTCTCCTTCTTAAAACAAGGCCACGGGGGAGAGGTCATCTCAGGTGAGAACTGGTGTCTCTAGAAGCATCATAGCAAGACATTTCTCACTGCAAACTGTGTCTTCTGAAGCTTCATGTAGTCATGGGCCACGGGCAGATACAAGAGTTCTGTCTTCTCTCTCTTGCCAAGCGTTTGTATCGGTGAAGCAACAACTAGTGGGTGAGTCAGAGCAAAGTGTTGCTGGTAGTGTGTCCTCCAGGCACAGCTGCCAGAGAAGGCAACAGGCAACTGTTGTGTTAGCCTGGGGGAGCATTTTCCTTCCGCTGGCATTGCCTCAGGATTATCTGAAGCCCCAGGAGGAACCGGAAAGGGTTCTAAAGCAAAGAAATGCCCTAAAGCTTCTCCTCCCCTTTCCTTGAGTTTTAATTGGAGTTCTTAAGCCCGTGTTTACCCAGATGTTGCAACTGCAGGCCCCTCCTCGATTGCCTCGCCATTGTCTTTAACACGGCTTCCCAGGCACTGCAAACTCCTACCTAGCGCTGCGTGCAGCAGACTGGTTTTAGCCTGTCCTGGGGAAGTGAGCTCGCCAGTGAGCAGCCAGTGGAAGGCAGTGGCTGTTTTTTGCTCTAGTCTATAGCAGCGATGCTGAGATACAGAAGCTGGCYGTGCAGCCCTGGGCGTAGTCTCCTGCCCTTGCTGGGGGTTTACGTGTCGGGCTCTGTTTGTTTCTGTCTCCAGCTGTGTTTGATCGGGAACAGCACACTCTGAACCTGCCAGCAGTAAACAGTATCACCTACGTCCTCCGCTTCCTGGAGAAACTCTGCCACAACCTCCGCAGTGACAACCTCTTTGGGAACCAACCTTTCACTCAGAACAGCCACATGCAGCGCTCACACGAGTACGACCACGACAGGTATCTACCAGGTAGGAGCTGGGGCGGGAGTGGCATTGTAGGGACCACAGACGTTCCCATGTCTTAACGCAGATTTTATCCTTTATCTCAGAGCATAGGAGTGTATTTTTTCGGAGCCCTCTCTGCGAAGTTCATTGCACAACACCTCGCATCATGCATGTGCCCGCAGGGACATTTGTGCTCAGAATTCAAGTTGCTCTATTTTTTTGCCTGTCAGTCTGATTTCCATCTGTGCCTCTAGGTTTCCGCTCATCCATGCTGTCTCACTGTCTTCCCATCTCTCCATGTCCCCCAGTCCTTCCTACTTCCTATAATCTGATTAGATTGACTTCATCCAGGTAGGAATGGAGGTGGAAATCTCTGCATAAGAAACAGAAGTATGATAGCTTGCAGCAGGGAATTAGAAATTCAATTAACGCCTGGCAGAGCAATTTCCATCATGGCTGTGAATCCGATGCCAGCAGAGAGAATCCTAGCCCTCATTGAAAGCAAGGAAGCTCAGCCTTTTTAGGGATGGAAGCACACTGCAGGTATCTAAGGCAGAGGTGGCTTTGTTTTCCTTGGCATGGCTGGTGCTCCGCAGTGTTGAGGCAACACGCCTCCAGCAAGATAGCTCATGCCACAAGTGCAAACATTTCATCAGAATGCAAAATCTCTGGTAATCAAAGGCACTGGAAACTAAGAAAACAAATGGTTTCTTCTCAGAACCAGCTATTGGCAGCAAACCCTGGGGCAGTACCTGTCTACCTGGAGCTGGTTTTGTGGATGTTGCTCCTGTAGGAATTCCAGTCATGGAGGGGACAAATATCTGCACCCTCTTTACGTAGTTGACTTTCTATCCTGCCTTACTTCTTCCACTACCTTTCTGCCCGCAGAGTCAGAAAATAGCTCCATTGTGCTGTTTGAGGTCTTTCCAAAGTTAATCCTCGAGCTGATTGTGGCTCTGACCTGCAAAGCAAGAATTTCTAGTGTTAAAGAATAAACCCTTATAAAGAACYATTTAAGGAAAAGTTGCTATGTGTGAGGCTTGAGGCAACAGTCGAGGGCTGCTTTGCCTCACTGGCATCTTGCTGTGCTCTACTTCTCAGCTTCTCTGCTCTCCTTTGCCACCCATTCATCCCCATGCTTCTCAGGAACCATCAGGAAGGATGTCGAGGCCAGCAACGTCAGGGCTAGGCTGGAGTTCAAAGAGGAAGAGTTTMGCAGCGATTTAGAGAGCATGTGAATCTCTGACTGCCTTGTGCTTCCTCTAGCTGACCGACTGCCTGCAAGATGAGGCTAAGCAGAGTCACGCTAGAACCAGAATGTGACTCAGCTGGGAGTCAGCAGTGCCAGCAGCAAAACCTTCCTTTGGGCTGAGAAGAGGGGCTGAGGATGCAGTTTGGTTGCTGTGGCAAGTACAAGAGTGGCACAGCTAGAAAATATTGACATTAGAAATTACCTCTCCAGGTCATCTCCAACTAGAACATGAACAGTTACAGTGAGAAGGAGCAGAACTGGAATGTGCAGAAGAGGACCTGAGGTTTGGGCATGGTAGCAGTCTTGTATGGAGAAGGGACCTGTAGCCCACACACACTGGGTCACTAACTACCTAGGGATCTCTGTCTACCCCAAGGGCTGGACTCCATAGCTGTGTGGAGGACCAGAAAAACCAAGGCTGGAGTTACAGGGAGACTTTTGCAGGGCACTAAAKAAGACATGATGCCAAGATCTGAACTCCCTGTATGAGTGTTTACAGGAGTTAAACCCACATTAACACAGTCCAGAGAAGTGGTAACACCGAGTCCTGTAGCTCACAGGGATGCCTCAGAGATTATAGGGGTTCCAGTCACTCTAACATATTATTCTAAATATTTTTATCCACACGCTGCAGTGCATCCTCATCACAKCTGATGAGGGCAAAGAAAGAGTACSAGTAAATTTAAGATTYAGAGCTTAAATTTAGGCATGGAATAATGAGGCTGCTATTTTACCTCATCTTAAATCAAACCTTGTCAGGCCTGGAATAGTTTCACCTTCAACATTGTGTTTCCTGCTTTATCACCTGTAGGACACAGATGCTTATGTGCTTTAGTAGAGTTGATTCTTCCAGAAAGTAGTCATTTATTGGTTAGAATTGGGTATCATTTCCCAGAATGAGCTCACTTAATTATTACAGAAACGTCACTGTAGCTGCAGTGGAGATGTCATGGATATGTTTGAGGGAGGACAAGGTAGGTCTGCTGCAGCTCTTACACCAGGTAATGTTGCCTTAGAAGTACATCCTGATGTTCCATCTTGATAAAGCATGTTCATGCAAATAAAGGGATATAAACCAAATTCTGCATCAGGAAAGAGTAGATTTGCAAGAAAATGAGAGGTAGTTGCTATGAATAGGAAAGGAGCTGGGCTACGAAATGTTTTGAAAGGGTAGATGCAATCTAGAGCCATCTGAGAACATAGGAATGGAAAGAATTTCTGAGTAACTGAGTCCAGCATCCTGTTATTACAGGCACCACAGCATACAATATTACTTCAATAAACTCCAAGTCCTGTGTCAAAGCAGTTGCATTCTTTGCTCTTCTACTAGAAGCTGTTCCTTATTATTATTGTTATTATTATTATTATTTTACTATTTTTTTTACTAATCACAGAAGCTATTTTGCAATTTCTGTCCCAGGTTTCTGGTTCCTGATATCCAGTTCTTCCTATCATAACATATTGTCTTTTAGCTTTATTTAATCCTCTTCCTTCCCAGAAGTAGTTACATATGCTTCTTAGGAGCTGCCTTTTAACCTTTTCTGTTAAGAAAAGCTCTCTTCTCTCCTGATCATCTCAGTTGTCCTTCCTGCAACACGCGATTTTGAATTAAACTTTGATGAAGTAAGCAGAGGGCTGCACAGCACCTTGGGCAGGAGCTCATGAGCAGCACTAGCATCTCTGTCCCCTTATTGAATCTCCATGGAAGACCTTTTTTACAGCTGTACCACAGTAGCAGCTGATCATCATCCTGTCTTGCTAGTGTAACTTCTCCTCTCGTCTGTTATTTTCAGCTGCAAGGTCCCAGCTCACAGGACTGTGCTACAATTAATTTCAAGTGCAAATCTCCGTTTTGCACAGCTGATTCCATCTCCTTTCTAGTATTCCATTCTTGATGATCTTTCTCTGTTTATTGTATTCTACAGTATCTAGCCAAACTTTGGAAGGCATCCACAGACTTCATCAGTGAATCTCTAAAACTGATGCCCAAGTCATTAATAAAAATATTCAGTGATGTTGGGCCCCATAGTGATCATTAAGAAAAAGTGTTGCTGATCGGTCTCCAGCCTCATATTCTTCCTCAATGCTCTGTCCATKGCCTTTCTTCTCAAGCCAGATGTCTGTTCACATTACAGTTCTGCTAGTCCTTGTGCTCTCTATCTCAGCTGGTGGTTTTCCAGGTCAAATGCCTTGCTGAATTCCAGGTGAATGAGATCACCACACTTCCTTTGTCTGGTAATTCAGTTATTTTTCCTTGATAAGGAAGTTATTGGATTAGTCACCTTTGAACACATACCACAGTATAAGCCATGTGCTCTTAACTGCTATATTTTATATTATCTTTTCATTCATAATCTCTTCTAAACCTTCCTGCTGAGGTCAGACTTGGGTGTTTAGTTGCCTAGATCACTTTTTTCCCATTTCTTTTTTAGGCACTATGTTTCCAACCATATTTCCTGTGTTTCCCTTTAGATTTGTGAGAATATAATTTTATGTGGCCTAGGTCTTCTATCTTTTTCCTTCTGTGCCCTTAGTTTCTAAGTATGAATACGTTCAATTATTTGATTTTTAGTCCTTATTCAAAGGTGTCTGGTTTTGTTCCTTTTCTTCTGTTCCCATTATCCTTTGGGCTTTGTGACTGTGTTCAGCATCACTGCAACTGAAAGCAAAGCAAAGGCAGGGATTTGCCTGAACGTGGAGTGGATATTGCCTGAATATCATCGACATCTGAGCTAGTCACCCTAACCTGCCTCTGCAGTGGAGGAGATGGTGCCATGTGGTTAGTGCAGGTTAGAACATCCTGGAGTAGATGCCTGTGTTTGATAGATGAGCAAACTGCCTTAGACCCAGACAGGGGCAGAGGGAGCCCTCGTGCTCCCTGCCAACCTCCCGAGTAAGGTGAGGTAAAATATGCCCCAAAACTGTTCCATAATTTTCAGACAAACTTTTTTTCAATTTTGTTATTTTACTATTATTATTTATTCTTTTTGCCCTGTCCTTCTTGCACAGTGTCCTCAGCATCTTTTCTCATTCACTTGTCACTTCTATAGCTGAGGACACAGTCCTGTCTTCCTTTGCACTGTCAAATGATAAACTGCATTAAAAGTTCACTCTACAAGTCCCTATTTCTGCTCTGAAATATGTCTCCTTGCTCTGTAATACTTTGCATTTACATTTGTTCTTCATATTCTTCTTGAAGTGAGTATTCATGCAGTTGGATTTGGGGTCCTTTCCTCCTCAATTTTCCCCTCAYGGGGATACAAGTTCATGAGTTTTATGGTATCTTTTGAACTGAAGATACTCTCGTTTTTTGACATTTGACGTTCTGACCACTGAGTTCAGCTCTGGCTACTCATCCATTTCCTTACTTTCTTAAAGCTGCCCTTTAAAAAACAAAAGCCTTCATTACAAACCCACTTTTGGTTTAATCTTTCATTAATTGGCTATGACTTAACTTACAGTGTTTGCATTACTTACTAAAGAAAATAYGGTAGAAAAACAACTCAGAACAAAACCACAAAGAACCTTTAAAAAGCATCGCTWTTTGTTGTCTTCACCTTGGTGAAAGAATTCATTCTCTTTTACATGAAGAGATATTCAGGGACATTTCTAACAGCATTTGTTTCTAATCTTTATCTTGGCAATAAACATTTGTTTCAGTGAGTTGTTCTGAGGACGATATTTACCTTTCTAAGGATATTACTGTGATTTCTTTTCATACCTGTATGGAGTCATGAGGCCTGTAGACAAGTCCCAGCTTTCTCTCAGTAAAAGCAGCTATTTCCTTTCCCAAAATCAACTGTGATCAATATGGATACTGCTTTCTACATTTCTCTTTTTCTTTAGACAACTAACATGTGGCTGACTGATGCTTCCCAACCATCTTTACCTCTGTTTCTTTGTTCACCGTAACATGTCTCCTTTGGTGTCCGGTCGCAGTTTCTCTTCACCATATTTCTGTTATCCCCCCAGTGCCCGCTCCTGCCCTGCACCAGTACTTCAGCTTTCTCCATGCTGCTGTCAGGCTCCTGGCATCTGTCTGTGAGCATTTCAGTTCTTTCTGGGATGGGCTGCAGGGYTCAGGAAACACTGGTTGCTGATAGATAACCTCTTCATTGCTTCTTGTTGACCATGCCTTATACTACATCCAGATAGGACGTGGTCCTTCTGCCAAGTGTATTGCTTTGCTGGCTTCTGTTCCYGTCTGTGTTAGCACTTTCATTCTCTGTGTTCATCCATTCACTGATATTTTGTGTTCAGCGCCTATCGGTCCATAAGGAGACATAGCAGAGCCCTGCCTGATGTGGACAGTGCTGGAATAACAGCCTCAACTGTTGTGTGCAACACGCAGAACCTYCTCCTTGGAAAGCATTTGGAAAAGAGCAGCAGGGACAACTGGGAAGCTTGTGGGACCCATTCCCCTTCTTAGGGGAGGATGAAAAATTCAAGTACCATTTAACCAAGCACTGTGTGTGTCATAGAGTATTTTCAAAGGGACTAAAGATTATGAGTATTTGAAAGGGGAAGAGAGTGGGGAGAAGCTGGAATTGTGTGGGATGAGCCTAGAGTAGAATTAGGAGAAATGGGATTAAGTTAATCAAGTGAGGTGCTTGGGGTGAAGTATGGCAAGCAGTGGCTAAGGTTCGATGTTAGGCCTGTTCCCACTCTTACACCTAATAAAAACTGCACAGCAAAATATAAAATGTTAAGCTCTGACAGATACATTTGGACTTCAGTTTTAACAGGTTATTAAGAGGTTGGGGATGGATGCGAGTCTGAAATGACCCTGGCAGGACTGAATTTCCCAGAAAGTCTCCACTCCTAAATAGGGCTTGTTCTCTTTTCCTAGACAGAAGCAGTTCGTTAGACGGCACTCTGCAGGGACCAGGCCGGGGTACAAAGCGCTATTCCCAAGATTCCCCTCCATACAGTGCTCCTCTCTCCCCCAAGTTACCAAAGAATGACCGTCACCCTTTGGAAGGTGAGCACAGCATCTCTTCCCAAAGCTGGCTGTTGAGAGTGACTTGTAATGGATGTAGCAGAACTAGATTTGCCATGCCAAGATAAGCCATGGGTTTAGGCAGTCTGCTTGTCTTTGTCTCTGGCATGGGTCAGTGCTTGATGTTTCAGGAGGAATTGAAGGAAATATTGTACACCAGGGCAGGTAGACAAAATGGTTGTGTAAGACACGTGGAATGCAGGGAAAATTCTTTCTAATCCCGACAGTGATCATCTTAATACCATGAAACATAATACATAAATCTCTGTTCTAGTTTTCATTAGTCTAGATGGTATTAATGGTCATAAAAGTATCCAGTTGCTTCAGCAGTCTCCCCTTGAATTTTCCTGTGCTCATTTGCTGCAGTGTATTCTGCTCTGCAGGGAACCTGCTGCCTTTTTCCAAGATCCCATCTTGTTTCTTGAAATCATTGCTGAATAGGTCAGCATTTTGCTGGTATTACTAGCTAAAGCAAAGTGCATCTTGGCTGCTAGAGCACTGCAGCTTTCAGCAGTGCCAGGCAAGTAACTCTAGCACGGATGTGCAGTCATTTCTGCAAACAGTAATTGCAGAAATGGGCTTTGGTATGCACATTTGGTGGTCCATAGGTTTCACATGCACATAATATATATATAAATATAAGCAAGTGGGAGATTTCCAGGGAGTCCAAGTAGTTATAGGACTTTTTGAGTCTGAAGAGGAACCTTCAATACTCTTCCACCTTCACTTTTGTTTTAAACAAAAAAGTTTTTAAACCTTTTAGTCCTTTTAGGACTGGCGTTTCAACCTTACTAAAACCCTTTGCATGGATTGTGAAAACTGCCAAGCTGTTAGTCTTTGTAGTATGTTGCTTACAAAAAGGTTGCTGGAGACTGTTGACTGATGGGTGCTAAGTGGCTTTGTGATCTGTTAGTATCTTCCTAGATCCACTTGTTCGCTGTTTCTTACTGAGTTTGCTGGATTTGGTTTGTTGTTCCGAATCATAGAATGCTTRAGGTTGGAAGGGACCTCCAGAGGTCATCTAGTCCAGCCCCCCYGCACACGCAGGGTTACYTAGAGCATGTGGCACAGGGCTGCATCCAAGTGAGTTTTAAAGCTCTCTAGGGAAGGGGACTCCACAGCCTCCCTGGGCAGCCTGTTCCAGTGCTTTGTCACCCGAAATTTGAGATGAGATAGATAGCTTCTCTGTGCTGAGATGTCATTTTACTCTCCATTACTGTTGCCTGGCCACCCTGAGATGGACAGAACTGTTTGGCTTAGTRTATGAACTGATTAAAGTTGTAAATTGGGGACACAACTGGCAAACTCAGTCTCACCTGTTGCAGTGTATTTACAAGTCGAGTGTTGTTCCCTAATGCCCACTCCATTTCTAACCTCTGCATACACTTCCTTTCTGATCTCCTTGGCATTCTTATCTAATAGATCAACCAGTGTACTTAAGTAAACTGGGAAAACACGTCTGCTCTCCATGAGCAGGTAGATCTGCAGTATTTTGCTTGTTCTTGAAGTTTGCTGGTATGATCTGAGGATTAAGGTGCGTGGGTTAGCTGCGGCATGTGTTGACCTCATTGTATTGTCAACAAAGACAGAAAGGCTCCTATAATTGGTAATTCTGAGTATGAATCTCTATTAGCTTGCCTGTAAGATTGATTCTGYATCTGTTTTAAAGTCTGTTCCTTCATCCTCTATCCTTTGAATGCTACATGCCATCCAGATGCCCAGATTACTTAGCCTCTTGCATGGAAGTAGAGACAAGTGGGCAGAAGGTAAGCCTTCATGTGAGGATGATGATCCTGTTACGTTCTGGACTTCCTACATCACCCTGGTCTTGGTCTGTTCTTGGAGCTGGCAGGAGGTGAGAAATGAGGAGCAATTCCAAAGAGCTTCTAAAATAATTTTTATCCCACAAGCCATAAGCTAAAAGCCTTTTCTTCTTTCACCATGAAAGGGCACTGACCAGTCCAGAGACAGGTAACCTGAGGRTGAACATTCAGATATAATCTGCCTCTTAAGTAAAGAAAAGAGCGGTGATCGCTAGGTACATTGCTTTGTACTGGATGCAAAGTACTGCATCCAGGACTTTGCATGTACAGTTACAAGAACATGTAAGAACACAGTCATGTTTGTTAGAGAATCTGTTATAGTGCATTCAAATCAGAAAGATGGCAATGTGTTAAATGAGCTAAATGTGTTCTCATGGTTATTTYGGGATCCATAGTGCTATGTTGCCATGAACCTAAGCACTGCTTTCCCTGAGGTCTCCAGCCTCCCCAGTGGCAGTCTCCACTAGGTCAGCTCAGAAATTCACAGAATAGTTGGGGTTGTGAGTAGCAGTAGGTGCCCTTGGCAAGCAGTCAGAAAGGTGAGGAGGGGATTTCACTTCTGGTGTGTTCTTTTCTTTTACAGCTGCTGTCACTTTTGTAGCTTTGTGCTGCAAAGCTGCACTTCCAGCACAGTGGGGACTTGCTTTTTTGGGAAACAGTAGGTGTTTAGTAGTTGTGCAAACATACTTGTGGCTGGACTCCATGCTTTGGTGATAAAACTGCACTCGAGTCCCTTATTAGTTTCAATTCTAAGTGGGCTTTAGCTCTTCTATCCACGAATGCTCAGGCTGTGTGTTTCTCATGGGTCACTTCTCCCTGCTGTCCCTTCTTGGACACTTCCTTTTTATGTCCAAGGTTAGTTAGGAGCTCCTTGTTCATCCATGTGAACCTCCTGCCACCTTTGTTTGATTTCCACCTTGCTGGGATGGACCACTCTTGAGCTTGGAGGAAGTGATTTTTGAATATCAACCAGCCCTCCAGAGCCGTAGTCCATGGCATTCTTCCAGCCTGGTACCTGAACAGGTCAGTGTCTGTTCTCTTGAAGTTCAGGATTGTGATCTTGATTTTAGCCCTGCTCCATCCTGTCAGGATCCTGAATTCCATAATTTCATGGATGCTGCAGCTCAGGTTGCCCTGACATTCACATATGTCACCAGTTCTTCCTTGTTTGAAAGTATGAGCTCCAGCAAGCGCTTCTTCTCCCTAATTCCTCAATCATCCACACCAGGAAATTGTCACGAGGGCACTCCAGAAATATGCCGAGTTGTTTGTGCCCTGCCATGATGTCCTTCTAGCAGATATCATAGAATCATAGAATTCTTAAGGTTGGAAGGGACYTTTAGAGATCATCTAGTCCAGCCCATCTGCATACACAAGGTCACYTAGAGCATGTTACACAGGAATGCATCCGAGCGGGTTTTGAAGATCTCCAGAGARGGAGACTCCACAACYTCTCTTGGCAGCCTGTTCCAGTGCTCTATCACTCTCACTGTTAAGAAAATTTTCCTTAAATTCCTGCAGAACTTTTGGTGCTTCAGTTTGTGGCTGTTTCCTCTGGTTCTGTCAGTGGCCACCACTGAAAAGAGGCCGGCCCCATCCTCTCCACTGCCTCCCTTGAGGTATTTGTACACACTGCTCAGGTCCCCCCTCAGCCTCCTCTTCTCCAGGCTGAACAGGCCCAGMTCCCTCAGCCTTTCCTCATAGGGCCGATGTTCYAGCCCCCTGGGTGCMCTTCCTGGGACAACTGCAGAACGTGGCTCCACCAGTCTTATTTCTTTCTCGCATTCTCTGATGCTTCTCAACCTTTCTACCTCCTTCTTCAGCTCCACCACCAGGCTARGTAGGTCCTTCACCTGCTCACACCTAAGGCCGCTCCCTGGTAACATGGAGAGGCTCAAGCACTCCCCACAGCTAGAGGCCGGGACTGCTGCATGTTTCTGTGGCAGTTCAGTCTGTGTCGCCACAGTCTTCCTGGTGCTGGCTCTCCACCGAGCAGAGATCATGGCTTCGCCTGGTTTCTCACTGAGGGAAGAGCCTGTGAAGGGAGCTGCCGTGATCCTGATGGCTCGAGCTCCCTGGAGGCGGCCCTTGAGCCGCCTTCCCTGAGCCGCCCCCAGGCCAGGGCTCGGCTCGGCTCGGCGCTGCCCCCGCGGAGGTCGGCGCCGGGGCTGCCTCTCGCTTCATGACTTCAGTGTGCTTGAAGTCCTCCCGGTACCAGGGCCTATAAACAGAGCAATTCTTCCAGCTGTTTGAAGACAAGGACATCTACTTCTCCCTCCTGATCTACAGCAGACACCCCCACAATGCCACCCGTGCTGCTCCCCCAGCTGATCCTGACCCCTGAGCTCTCAGCTGGTCCCTGACCTGAGCTCTGTGCTCTTACTACTTTCTGACATAAAGGGCAACTCTCCTTCTTTGCCTGTACTTCCTAAAAAGCCTGTATCCACCATCACGTTACTGCAATTGTAGGAGCTACACCACCATGCGYCCATGATCCCTCTTGCTGACGTGCACCCCCTTAAGAAGCATTGCTGTATTTTCAGTATGAGTTGGGCATGCATGTTTGCCTCACCTGGCAAATCTGGGGGATCTTCTTGGTGAATTGAGACAATTATACTCACAGAGGGTACTTACATCCTTTGGATAGACCTGTTTCCATGCCTGTGTCTCTGCTGCGCCAGCCATAGTTTTCTTTTCTTTTTATAAGTATGTCCAGATCAGTGCACTGGGCTGTGACTTGCTGACCCATCACACTCTCCTATGAGTCAGACATCACCCCTTTTGCATGGATATTMCAAAAAGCTTACATTTAATGGGAAGTAATTCATGTTTTAACAAAAACCTTGCTGCAGTTGGAGGGGAAATCAAAGGTAGCTCCTACACAGAAGTTCCCAATGCCACTGGTGGAAATCGCATCCGTTCTRTGAGTCAGTTTGGATTCAGGCAAGGAAGTGCTCACTGAGCCTGGGCCAGAGCGCTCCAGCTGAGTTGTGAGGTTTTTGCCATCTTCTTGTGCTGAGAGCAGATGAGGCACCAAAGGCATCAAGTTGGCATTGCAGCATGAGGCCCAAAAGCTGTTTTTCCCAAATTTTCTTGGTAAGTTGATGCTGCCATGCTCCAGGAAGGAAGAGGCAGCTTGCCTGCATCCAAAGTAATATACTGGAGAAGTTAAGCCCTTTTTGGGATGTTTTCTTTGGAAACACGCTGCCTTTTCATCCTCTGTCCTTCATCTATGAGCCTCTTCATCCTCTATTTTCAATTCTGTTGCTCTCTTCTTTTGAATATATCCAGGATAGTTTCCTCAGTCTGTCCATCCATTATTACATTATTATTAACAGCTGCAAATCAGTTGTATGTCTGGAAGAGAAGGTGAGGAAGACARTCTCACAGTGGGACCCCTGTGTGGGTAGAGCCCTCTGCTCTGTCCCCACTGTGTGCACCAGGAGTGAGTGGCCAAGCAGTTGTGGGAGGACCAGCACCAGGTGTGTCTGGGCTGAGGACTTAACTGTCCTTACCTCTATGTATGTCATGTTCAAAGGAAGAACAGTAGCCGGGATGCAGAGGATGTTGGTCATCAGTTTTGTTAGGCAATTAAAAAGAGCCCAGCAAGAAGGGATCAGCATCTGAAAACCAAGACCTTGCTGTTGGGGCCAGAAGATCGGCCTGTGTGTGAATGTTGGCTGGTTGTGATGGTATGGCTGAGGCTCAGAGGAGGCTCTCAAGCTCAGTCTGACTGTATGCTCTTATCCAGTCTAAGGCATGGGGTACTTGCTAAAAATCTGCTACAGTCTCAACCACCCAGGCCATTTCCTTGTATGCTAATGCTTGTARTGAGCAAATAAAATATATGGGGTTTGCCTGGATCTTCGGGTACCTTCTTGCCCAGATGAGAGCTGATGAGTTCTGTGTCTGTTGGCATCAAGCAATGCTGTCATTACTTAGAAGAGACAACCCTCCACCTTGTCTACCACTGGCCTGCTGTGCTGTTGAAGGAAGGTTTTGTGAAATCAGTAAAAGGACATGCAAGGGAATGCAAGCAGAAACTGGCGTTGGCATTAACAGAGTAGCTGTTCCTCAAATCTGGGTATCAGATGTGATCACTGCTAACTGGCTAGAYTGTAAGTGGCCAGGCAAACACCAGACTGCAGCAGCCTGGTGGTTAGAAGACCACGAGTCATAGAATCATACAATCATCATAGAATCAAAGAATCCTTAAGGTTTGAAGGGCACTCTAGAGATCATCTAATCCAACCCCCCTGCACATGCAGGCTCACCTAGAGCATGTTACACAGGGCTGTGTCCAAGCAGGTTTTGAAGATCTCCAGAGAAGGAGAGTCCACAACCTCTCTTGGCAGCCTGTTCCAGGGCTCTGTCACCCTCACTTGTAAGAAATTTTTGCTTAAGTTCCTGTGGAACTTTTGGTTCTGCAGTTTATGACCATTTCCTCTAGTCCTGTCGCTGGCCACCACTGAAAAAAAGACCAGCCCCCTCCTCCTCACTGCCTCCCTTGAGGTATTTGTACACACTGATCAGATCCCCCCTCAGCCTTCTCTTCTCCAGGCTGAACAGGCCCGGCTCCCTCAGCCTTTGCTCACAGGGCAGATGTTCCAGGCCCCTGATSATCCTKGTAGCCCTGCGCTGGACTCTCTCCAGCAGTTCTACATCTCTCTTGTACTGGGGAGCCCAAAACTGGACACAGTCTCCAGATGTGGCCTCACCTGAGCTGAGTAGAGGGGCATGATCACCTCTCTTGACCTGCTGGAGACGCTCATCCTAATGCACGCCAGGATCCCGTTGCTGGCACACTGCTACCTCATGGTCAACTTGTTGTCCACCGTGATGCTCAGGGCCCTCTCTACAGATCTGCTCTTCAAGTCCAGTTGTTTGAACTCTGTAACCATTGCTGCATGCAAGCACTAGGCACCCGCAGTGGACTCCACTGCAATTCTGTCCTGCTTTCTGCTCTTGAATCCTAACCATGGTCAGCCTGTGTGCTAATTGCAGCTTGATGCCGTTCCAGGTGAAACCTTTGTCCTGGGAGATGGCCTCCCAGGTGTGCTGGAGCCTCGCCTGGACCCCATGGACTCTGCCTTGGACTCTGTCAATTCATCAAGCCACAGCAGGAGCTCCAGAAACTATCGCCTGCAGGGATACAGACACCTCCACCAACCCTCTAGCCTCACTCAGGGCAGTACCTCCGCCTTGCGTAGGCTTAGCTCTGGGGGTAAGAGAGTTAAGAAGCCAGCCCTCCGATTGTAAATTTGGCAATGAAGGGCTTTTCTAACTCCAGTTACATCTTTCTAACTTCAGCAAGTACCAGAGACTGGCCTCTACACTGTTAAACAGGTAGTCTGTTAGGTTTAACAATAGCTCTAGAGACATGGCAGATGGGTGGGTAGAAGTATGGCTAGATGATGTCTGCAGGGTCAGTTATTTGCTTTAGTGACTAAATGGGGTCTTGGAGGTCAGTAGACRGGAATAAATAGGTAAGAGCTAAATTTGCAAGTATGTTTAGGGGGGTCTATCCGCTGTCAAAGTGTTGGTGTCTGAATCAGGGAGGATGGATTGGGAGGGGCCACGGAGCTGAGAGCTGCCTGATTAGGGTGGGAGCAGGGTTGGGTGTCCAGGGGATGTGTGGGATCCAGCGGGATGTGTGGATGATACTCACGTGTAGAGGAGTGTGTGGAGGAAGAGGAGCAGGAGAGCTGATTGCAACCATCAGCACTTGTCAGATATAAGTGTTTGCAAAGCAGCGATACAATTTTATATATGGGGCATCAGTGAAGAAAGGCCTCTTGCAAAACCAGGTCACTAATACCTYGGTTTGTCTGCCTCCCCCAATGTCTGTGTGTACAAGTAAAATGCAGAGAAGAGCTGAAGCAACAGACTGTGCTGATCCAGCAGTCTGAGRAAGGGACTTTCATCAACTCCTGGAGCATTTAAAGTCAAAGGAATTTTGCATGTAGRCTCAGTCCAAGAGAAAATGCAGCCTCTGAAAATATCAAATGACTTTGCCCTGTTAAAGTTGCTAAAGACAATGTGCAGAGTGGGCAAGTGATGGGAAGGAAGGGGAGAGATGGTATTTGGGGAAACAAGTGGGAACAGCAGATCACTTTCTGCACAAGTGGGAAACATTAGTAGACGGTCAAGGAAGTCAGAGAATAGAAATGTTGGGGCAAACCTGAACTGAAAGAGGATGAGGGAGAAATGAATTTTAGAGGAAATAAAGGAGCTGGCTGTAGAAGACTGCTCTGAAAGTAAGACCTGAAGAGAGAGAATAAAGCTTAGGTGCAGGACAGGACACTCCTGGACATGGGTGGGTTGTGCCCTCACATGGTCTTGGCTACCACTTCAAGAAAGGAGACTGAATAGTAAATTAAATGTGAATAACTGATGGAATGATGCGGCAGTCAGGCTTTAAATAACTGCTACTGTCTTGCAATTACACCCTCCAGGTTCAGATAGGTACCTTGGATCTCGAGACGTCTCACGGCTGAGCAACCGAGACCCCTCGTCCTGGACAGTGGAGGAAGTGATGCAGTTCATACGAGAAGCTGATCCACAGCTGGGACCCCATGCCGACCTCTTTCGAAAACATGTAAATATGGATGTATTTATGTATGTGGATGCAGGGCAGATCATCACATGAGGAAAATCTAGGAAAAACTGAAGAACAGCAGCACCCCGTTTCAGGCAGTTTTGTGTTGTGAAAAACATCCCCCAAATCCTGCTAGTATCATATTCAGGCTTAGAATTCCTCTTCCTCAAGTGACAGAAGGGAAGACATGGTAGCCCACGTAAGCCTTCTGATGCCTCTGTGCATATAAACAGTTCAGCCCTTAGCTGTTTTTAAATCTGGTATCCTTAGTGCCAAAACCAAAACAGAGTGTTGACCCTGGAATCTTAAAATTCACCTTCTAGTGAGAAAACATGTGTCCCAGGTGGAATTCATCAAATTGCTATTCCACCATTCCCTATAAAAGGAGGTTCTCTAATGTTCTGGTCTGTGTGCATGTCCTTAAGTGTAAACAGCTGCAGACACAACATGTAGTTTGTACAGTGAGAGTCAGAAACATATTGGCAGCTCTGTGTCCGAGGTCCTATCAGGCAGTTTGTTTTCTCTGCCTTTTGATTCACTCTGTGTTTGATTCATTCCACGTGGTTCATCCTGGTGGCTGTGAACTACCTGGAGCTGCTTCATTCCTTTGAAGCAAAGAAAAAAGCTTAGAAGAAAATACTTGTCAGGAAGTTCTAGGTGGAAGTTCCAGACAGGTGGTTGAGCGTAGTCTCAGCTTGTTATGTCAGGTCTCAAGAGGTGAGTTGTACTACAGACACCTCCCCAAGGCAGGAGAAGAGGCAAGTAGTGCAGTTCTGTCTGCTCACGGGGCTGGGACAACAATATCTCYTTTTTTTTTTAATTAGTATCCATTTTAGAACCACCAGTAATTGAAAAATATTCTGTTTAATTATGCAAGAGAACACTCAGCCCTYTGCTGAGAGATTAAAGTCCCCCGTGTTGGCAATTTTGAGAAAAATTCACCTTTCATTTTAAGAAAAGAAAAGCAGAACAAACTTGCTACCAGATAATATCGGAGATCTTGCTTATTTTGAGATGTAATTGAACATTGCCACAGGATGGTGTTTTCTGTTCAGCAGGAGGCTGTGGTGAGGAGGTGTGTGTAGGGAGGTGTGGACGAGCAGAAGAAGGAATGCTGCAAGGGATGTGAGGTCTGCAAATCATCTGTTAGCAGATGCTGAGTACAGAGCTGCTCTGCASTTGTTTCAGGCCTCATATCCCTCCTTTCCTGAGCCTCGATGAGGGCCAGGCTTGTCTCAGCTGTAAAGCATCAGCCACTTGGAGTCATCCCTCCTGGAGATGCCCCGTTTCCCTGTTCCTCTGCCAGCTGTAGGGACTTYTAGCAGCTCCAGAAATTCACTTTACACATAGTAGCCTCCTCTTTAGGTGAGRAGGTTTTTGCCTCCCTCTGCAATCTTGATTTTCAGCTTGGTTATTTTCCCTCTTCTCCTGTGATAAAGGCCAGTGTGTAAAGTGCTGAATGTGTCACAGCGGGACTAGTTTGAGGGGCTGTGTATCTTCTTCCAGAAAGCTCCCTGTGGTGACGATGGCCTTGAAGACAGGCTGCTGCTGTGCTCTGCCATTGCCTCGCGAGGGGCTGAGTGCGAGTGTGGAGGGCCAGACAGGTTCCTAGGTGGAGATGTGTCAGCTCAAGTAGTTTTCCCTGTTTATGAGCCCCCAGGAGCCTCCTCTGCTTTGGAGCAGCTCATCCTCCCAGTCCCTTGCTTTTTCTTGCTTCCTGTTTCCATTCAGCATTTGCTGATTCCCCGGCTTGACATAGCACCTGGCTGTTAGCACCTTGCTCATCCAAGAGCAGGATTTCAACAGATAGCCCAGCGCCGGGCACTTGTCGAAGCCCTGAACCCTCCGGTGCTGCTGACAGGGCAGGAGGCAGAGCCGTGTTGGTGCTGGGGGTGTGTGGTTATGTTCCCCCTTTGCTTCTGAGCTGTGCTCCCCTCCCCAAAACCCAGCCTGGAGCCCCTGGTGCAGCAGGCAGAGCCCAAAGGTGCTCAGGCACCCTGCTGGTGTCCTGAGACAGCTGAGCGTCACCTGAGCAGTTTTGACCACGAGAGGCTGGAGCGCAGGGAYGGGCTCACACTGCCACTGTTATTTCTCCTCCTTGCAGGAGATTGACGGGAAGGCCCTGCTCTTGCTGCGGAGTGACATGATGATGAAGTACATGGGGCTGAAGCTGGGGCCAGCCCTGAAGCTAACTTACCACATCGACAAGCTAAAGCAAGGCAAGTTCTGAGAGGACGCTTGGCAGGATGGGTGCTGGACACGCTGCTTGTGCCAGCCCGCTCGCCTGCAGACAGGTACGCATGCACACACACCCATTTATGCCAATGGACACTTCTCTGAAACAGCCCAGACTGGTGCAGGGATCCAGTCAGCCACCCACCTGCTCCTTCCTCCGGCAGCCAGGCTGGGAAGGAGAATGACAACCTCCTTCCAGGCTTTCTGGAAGGAGAATGACAACCTCTTGGCCCCAGGGCTTCGCACAGAACTCAAGTCCTGGGTGTCCTGTTGGAAGCAGAGAGACTGGCCGTTCTCCAAAGCCATTGCTTCTCTGTTGTCTCCTGGTCCCTCTGCCTTGGGACTAAGGAGCTGCTCTGGATGGGATTTGTGGCAGAGCCTTTCAGGGACTGGGCAGCTCTGCTGGATCCTCCCTGCTTGCTCCGCTGCAGGAGTGCAATGCCCTCACGTTTCCTGCCAGCCCCGCTCTCCTGGCCTTGCTGCACCAGGTGGTCCTCACATCAGACCGGCTGTGGACCAAGCAGGCTGGACACCCTGCACATCACCATGTCACCTGGACAGCTGGGCTGAGAGAGAGGCGGCGCCAGGGATTCACCCTCAACTCTCGTAATACTCTGGCTAGCTTATAACCACCACCACCCRATACCCAGTCTTCCATAGCAAGGTGGGAGCCGCAGCATGTGCTGGAGCCCCAGCACCCTGCGCCCTGCCTGGCCCTGGGGCGCCCACCTCCCTTCGGAGGCAGAGCTGAGCCAACCCGTGACTGCCCACCTTCCTTGTGCCAGTGGCAGCAGAGGACGGAGGCTTTCGTATTTATTTCTGACTGGGGTGGCTGAGATGATGCCCCTTGGCCAGCACCCAGCTGTGCTGRCAGCATGGAGCAAGCCGTGGAAAAGGAGTCTGGATGCTGCAGGATTCGATTGTTCGATTGATCCTTCTCTCCTTTTTTTCTTTTTTCTTTTTTCTTTATAAGAAGTTTTCTGCTTAAAATTATGACTTTTTTTTAATACCTGTTGTTAAGCTCATAACCCTTGGAGATTTCTAGCCAGAAATGTAAAAATGTGTCTTTCCAGTGGGCCCTCCTGATACTCTGGTGTTTCAGACCATCCCATCTCAGCAGGTGCCAGAGGGTGTTGGGCCTGGGGGTCAGAGGAGCCTAGTCTGATGGGCAGTGCCCCGTTCCTGRGGGCACCTCTGTGTTTCAGGCACTCTACCGTATTCATTTAAATGGCACTTGAGCAGCAGTATGCTGTCCCAAACACATCACTGCAGCTGCAAGACAAGTATCTAAGAGGACATTTGTCAGCCCTTGATGAAATCTGGTCGGCAGCAGCCTGGAGCTCGCAAACCGTGGATAACTCTGAGACTCCAGTGGCAACAGACTTGCTGTCCTGCTCCACAACCTTCCTATGGAGGCAGGGGCTGCACAATCCCCTGGAGCATCTYGTGCCACAGCTTGAGACACGCTGGGAAGGCACTGACCTTGTCGTGTCCATGACAAGAGTTGTGGCGAGTTTGGAGTGGTGGGTTGTCCCTGGCACATCCACACGTCTCCTTCCTGCAAAGGCCAGAGGGCTGGGGCAGGGGGGATCTCCACTGCAAGCACTTCTGTCTTCCCTGTCCTGAGGTCCCCACTTCTACGTACAGAGAAACATCTCGCAGCCTCTTCCCGTGGCACCCAGAGAGCCCATGGTGGCAGCAGAGGGGACTCCTGTGGTGCTCAAGCCCACCACGGTCTTGCACCAGGTCAGGTCTACTCCTAAGGAAAAGCTGCAAAAAATAAACCCCAAAACCCAAAGTAGTAAAAAGGCTTTTGGTTGTACAGCGGAGCCTCGGCTGCACCGGCGCGCTGTGTGCGCGGCGGGTCCCCAGCCGCCTGGCAGAGCCCCTCGCTGCCCACACCAGAGACATCGCCCTCCCTCCTACCTGACACTGGTCTTGCTGGCCCAGTGCAGACAGGTCCTCGGCCGGGCTCAGCCAGCGCTTTCCTCTGCACTTATTTTCTGTTGATTTGTTTATAAATAAAAGGATACCTACATTGCGCATCGCTGCTGTGTGTTGCACTGCTGGGCACATGTCCCGCTGTACGCAGCTCCACTCATCAGGGAGCAGGTACAGGGCATGGAGAAGATTTTCCCCCTGGGACATCCATGTGGCCCTGGGCTGGGATCYGTTCCCGGCTGGGCATGTGGTGTGGAATCGGTTTGGTGACAGCAGTGACTTCACAGTGCGACTCCCTTCCGAGGGCCGTGGCCGAGCCCAGGCATCTGCAGGAGGACAACGCGCCTGGCAGGAGCTGCTGGCAGCCTGCGGTAAATGGGGCCACGGCCCAGACGGGGTTATTCTGAAAGGGACCAAATGGCCTCTTTGACAGCTTGATCCACCAGTCCAGCTGTGTGYGATCAGGCAAGGAGCTGGGCTCCTGCCCCAAAGGGTAGGGAGGTCTCARTGCAGTTGATGGAGATGGGCAGTACACAGGAGGGCACACGCCACAGCCTGGATTTGCCAGGATGCTTAGGAGCCCCTCAACGTGGTCTCTGCTCCTGCGTATCCTGGAGGGGCCTTCAGGAGGCCCTCTATGCTTGTGCCCCACACACCCTATGCTCCTGCTGCCTTGTGACCAGGGTGCCAAAAGGCACCAGTTCCATCCTGCAGCAGCCTGGCTTCCCCCACACTGGAGCAGGGCTGGGGCCAAGATGACAAGTGTTGCCTGCTGGCAGAGACATCAGTGCCAGGCCCTGGGGTACAGCATCACAAGCCCTCCAAGGGGAGTTCTGCAAAGTGGACATAAAAGTGTCCTGGTGGGATTCCTGGGTGATGCCCAAAGACTTTGCAGTTCCTGTAGGAGACGTGAGGAGAGGTGGGAGCGGAGGGAGCGAGGCAGGACCAGCGCATGGGGCTGCCAGCCTGTGGCTCCCCTCTGATGTSTCCTGTTTTTCAGCCAGGCGCCGTCCCAGACGTTGCGTCCCCGCTGCCCCAGGCAGCACAGCGGGCCGAGTGGTGCCACCCCTGGGACTCGGCGCCTCTGCCCCCATCTCCACATGCGGCCCCAGGGCTGGTAACTRCTCATGGGGCAGGAGCCAGTGGCAGCTGGACTGTGGGGTCACCCTGCGCACCCCCAGCTTGTGGTGAGCGGAGGGGCAGTGCCATGACTGCGTGTGCCCAGCGTGCCCCGGCCCCATGCAGCATGGACAGGAGCCCCTGCGAGGTGGCCGCCAGCAGCACTGCGCGTGAGGATGGTGCGGGAAGCCTGGACCCCACAGCGCCATCCCCTGAGGAGGGGCCCTCGGAGGGCCAGGGTGCGGAGGCTGGGGAGGACCCTGCGCAGCCCCACACGCTCTACCTGGGGAACCTGAACCCGCGCTACTCGCCCGAGGTGCTCTGCTGCATGCTCAAGGACATCCTGGGCACGGCGGGCCTGGCCCTGCAGCGGCACCACATCGAGGTGGTGAAGAAGCCCAGGCAGGCCTACGCGCTCGTGCAGCTCGGCGGCGCAATGAGCCTCCAGCACATCGCAAAGCAGCTCCTGGTCGCTGCCGACATGGAGAAGAGCCTCATCAGGGAGCTGGTGGTCAAGGGGAAGACGCTGCTGGTGGCCGAAGGCGGGCACAGAGCACGGAGCTCCCAGGAGGACAGGGAGGTCTGTGCTGCTGGGGAAGGCCGAGAGGGCACAGGTGGGGGCAGCGAGGGATGTCCCAGGCACCTCACACTGGGGATGGGGCGAGGGCTCTTCCCTGCTGAGCCCAGCGCAGACTCATTGCCCTCCGAAGGGCAAAGGGATGGGCAAAGGCAAGGGGAAGGACAAGGACAAGGGGAAGGATGAGGGTCTCTCCTGGCCTGGCGGGGAGTTTTGTGCCGTGTAGCGAGGAGCTGCACCCCGTGCGGGTTGCAYTGCACAGGAGACCTGCCCTGGCAGCCCTGGGCTAGGCCTCCTGAGGCAGCACCAGAAGCAAGGCTGCCATCTTGGGGCCTAGTCCTGGAGCCTCCCCAGGGAGGAACCCTCAGACCTCTTCCCTGGGGCTAGCAGGGTGTGTGTTGCTCCCCAAGTGCAGGTTTCACTCCCAGCTCTGTGTGTGTGCATCCCCAGCCAGGCACAGGAGCTAGAGCTGTTGTCTTGGCCATCCCCTGGCCCCCAGGATGGCTCCCCAGCCCAGATCCCCTCGAGCACATCCCTTTTCCTGAATCTGCACAGAGCGACTTGGAGGTGATGGTGAGCRGCCCCCCGGCAGCCCGGAGCCTGGGATCGCGCACACCTGGCAAGGGCCGGACACGAGGTCTTGAGGCCGCCCCGCTCGCGCCCAAGCCCAGGGGCTGCCCAGCGGCCCAGCCCAACCCGTTCCAGCGAGGGACACGCTCCGACAGTGCCATAGTGCAGCAGGAGATCGTGGGCCAAGAGCGCCTCTTCTACGGTGCCTTCATGGGCAGCGAGACCAGGAACGTGGAGTTCAAGCGGGGCAGCGGGGAGTATCTGCTGGGCACCCTCAAGCATCACGTCCGCAAGTATATGTGCGCCTTCCTCAACAGCGAGGGCGGCAGCCTCTTCGTGGGCGTGGAAGACACAGGCTTCGTACATGGCGTCCGCTGCGGGCACCGGGAGGAGGACCGCATCCGCTTGCTTGTTGACTCCATCCTCAAGGGCTTCAAGCCGCAGGTGTTCCCCGACACCTACAGCCTGACCTTCATCCCTGTGGTGAAGGCGGGGGACCCGGGCACGTGTCTCAAGGTGATCCGGCTGAGCGTGCGGGGGCCGCAGCCTCAGGCCGAGCTGCTGCTCTATGAGACGGACCAGGGTGAAGTTTATCTGCGCCGCGACGGCAGCGTGCAGGGGCCGCTGTCCGGGAGYGCCATCCAGGAGTGGTGCCGGCAGGTAACGGCCCCAGCGCCGGCGCTCCCATAGCCGCGGGGAGGGCAGGATGGAGGTGAGTCACCAAGGCCCCCCGGGCCAGGGGCCGCATCCCTCCCTCGTTCCAGGTGGAAGGTGCTGAGCTGTTGATGCTGGAGCCGGTCGCTCCCTGCGCTGTCAGGCCTTGGTCAGGTCCCATGGCTCTTTTACTCACAGCCCTGAYGGATAAGGCCCAGCAGGGCTCAGATGGTGCTAGTACCTAACTGTGACATGTGGTCCATCCCCGACACGCTCCATGCAGCCCTGGGGACCCCAGCAGGACTCACTGAGGTGGCTGATAAATGGATCAGCCCAGGACAAGCACCAGGTTCCTGCTCTTGGCGCTGTCCCACTGCTGCGTGCTGGGACAGGGGGCTCAGTGAAAGCTCCAGCCAAATGGAGGCTCATTTTATCTGTAAATATAATGGAATCATTGAGTCTTTATCTCTGAAGAGCCGTTACTGTTGCACCGTGAGCAGCAGCAAGGACTGTGCTGGCAGTGAAGGTCCTGGGCTGAGACCTGGTCTTTGATGCAGATGAGCRCATCAAAGATCAGCTGCAACTCGTGCAGCCACACTGATCTGGCTCAGAAAGCGGCCAAGAGCTGTGCCCTGCCCATCCCAAAAGACAGAGTGGAGGCCCCGTTCAGCCCTGGGAAGAGATTTCAGGGWAGATGTTCAGGGAATCTGTCAGGACATTTAGCCAATGTGCACAGAAGCTACAGTGACAGGGCTGAGGTGGTGAAACAGGCTAAGTGGTACCAGGATCTGGACCTGGGCAATCCTGGGCCATCCCCACAGCAGAAGAGACAGGCAGAGTCTCCCTTCAAGAAGGGGCAATTGGGCCAGCACTTGTGTCGCAGCTGGTAGCTCACAGGGTTTGTGTCCAGGTGGGGAGCTGAGCCATCCAATGCATCCAGCAGACCCAGCTCTCTTCTCCCAGGGGAGAGGACCTGGGCGGGACTAGGGCAGGGCAGGACCGACCACATGGGGGGAGGAAGGAGCCTGGCTGAGGCTGTCCACGATACAAAGTCCAGCTCATCAAGGGAGGAAGGCCTTCTCAAGGGAGAAGCATTGTGGCCAAGATGCTTCGTCAAGCACCATTACCACACTGCTCTGTGTCCACAGAAATGGTTGGGAGAATTGAAGAAGCTGGAGGAGAAGATAGAGGCGCTGCTGAAGGAGAAGGAAARTCTTCTGCAACAACTCAACCAGCTGCAGAGCTCACAGCCCAGATCCAAAGTCTGCACCGTTGTGTGAGCAGGGCGGGGGATGGAGAAGCAAGATGAGTGTAAGGAGGGAAGCGCTTCCCTGTGCACCCCTGGAGCCCGACTGTGTGCCAGTAAGGGCAGTGGTTGGCGAGGGCAGGGTCACCTGGGCCTCATTCACARGCAACCAGTGCCCAGGGACATTTGTCCCCAAGGGTGGCTTTGGGCACTAGAGGGCTGTTATTTCAGGCAATGCTCACGCTGCTCCTGCTGGGAGAGCACTGGCAGCCACAGCAGAAGTGACAGCAGCAGCAATCCTGCTCCCTGCCCTACACACTCATCCCCAAGATTGAGCTGCTCCAGGTGGAGCTGCCACTCCTTGACGGACACCTGGGAAGCAGCTCGCCAAGTGGTAGAGAACAGGGACACACCTGGGCTTTGCAAGAAGTCCCCACAGAGGGTCCAAGGCAGCTCATGGCAGAATTCATTAAAAATGTGTCACTTTATTTACCCCACACCTGCCTAATTCCTCAGCGAGCTGCAAGTTTAGGCCAGCTTCACTGATTTGGCAGAAATATAGTATCTAGGGCTTCCTTTCTACAGATCAGACTTGCTGTCCCAGGAGTACCTTAAACATTCACCTAGCAACTAGGGCAGAGCTTTCCGACCCGTCTGGAGCTACTTCCCAGAACCACTTTTCTCCACTGGGCTACAAACATGGAGACAGACAAGTTACTGATACTGACCCTTCTTGCACATCCTTAACTCACAGGTTTCCCCGGGGCTGAAGCTGGGAGGATGAAGCCCAGCAATTTCCACAGGACATCAGAAACACACGTGCTGCAAACACAGCTTATTAACATCTTCTCTTTTATATTACATTAACTAAAAATGTGGCATTAGTACACTTGTTCATTTTTTTCCCCTCTGAAATATGGAAACGATATGGCAAGCTCTTGGCTAGTTATTTATTTTTATTACAAATAAGCATTTCAGGACGAAGTCAGTTACAGTTTTGGCCAAAATAAAGACATTTCATTGAAAGGAAAACAAAGATGTGCTACAGATTACAAACAGGCCCACACTGCTGAAGAACCAGCCATTTTATGGGCATTGTTTTGTTTGCTATAGAGAGCATCTCAGCTTGGTCAATAATTTTTGCAGAACTGTTATAATTGGCACAAATGAAGAATGCTCAAAACTTCCCTGGCTAAAAGCAGCTTTCTGATGTCTACATCAAATAATTAAGAAACGGAGCAAGAGGGAGTGTGAAAAACACCACTTGRGATGAGACAGGACAGTGCATAATTATGGGCTGTCCTGTCTCATCYGAAGTTTGGCATCAGACGGTGTGGAAGTCAGCACTGAGCCAGGCTTGAGGCGTTCAGYGCTCTCCAACCTTTAATGAACCAAAGAGTTCTGAAAACATGACACTTCAGACAACAGAGAAACTTTCATTCTTTCTTCTAAATCACCAGAGACCAAAAACTGCGTTGCTTACGCTGCAGTGAAAGGCAGGGAAAAGAGAAAAAAAAAGGAACAAGAGTGCTTTTTCCACCCCAAGACTGCAAAGCTAATCAAGTMATCGCAGGACAGCATACATCTACACACTAAACCAGGTAACACTGTAGGCAAATAGCTAGCCCCCTGTATCAGGAAATAGCACTTCTGTATTGCATTCGCAGTGCGGGAACACACGTGTTTCCAACGTGTAAAAAAAGGCAAAGGCTCCACTTCAAATTAAACAAAAAGCACCATGAACTGGTTGGTCCAAGGTAAATTACCGTGGGAGCATTTAAAGGCAGCATCTGAAAGTTGTTCACTTTCTTTTCTGTACCTCCCCCTTGATGCAAGGAGTTGAAATTTCCCAGCCTAAGAAGCAGCACCAGCAAACACTGGCATAGGAAGGGCTAACATTATGCCTCATTTCAGGCAATGATGGGGTTTTCTGGACAKTTTTTTTTCTTTTTTTTTCCCCTCACATGATCTAAGCTAATTGCATCCCTGCAGAGCGACATATCACAGCTGATCGGGTTCAAGATTAACCTCTGTTCCAGGAATAAGGCTCTCCTGGTTAAAAGTTCATTGCCGGCAATGAATGCACCAAAACCACCAGTGCCAAACACTTTTAAATACTATTGAAAAAAAAGTAAAAAACAACAAAAATACATCCTTCCCAAATAAAGACTGCATAAAGCTTAAGAGGCCCATCTCTGCAGCACAGCGGAGCTGTGTGAACACCTGAGCAAAGGCAGCCCCTGCTAGTAGCATCCAAAGAAATGCACCAGTAATAAAAACTGCCCAGGAAGCAGAGAAATTGGAGAAAGCAACTCAAAGGCCAGAGTATCCAAGGCATAACCTTACACTTGCATTACCATGCATCAGGAAGGAAAGGTGCAATTGGGTTCTTCCTAACAAATTAACATGTTAAATCTCATACCCAAACTTGCTTTTCTTTTCCTCCGAGATGGTGTGATAAAAGTCTAGAGATGCATGTGCTGTGCTAAGCTCTCTGCCAGAAATAATCAAAATTCATAGGAAAGAAACAAGAGACAGAAGAATTAAGGAAATAAAGGGACAGGATTTCATAACAAAATTAGAAAACCATAACTTAAGAAAGCCCATAGCTAACAGTGTTCAAGCTATTGCTGTAAGAATGCCTGGAAAATCTAACGAAGGCTCTTCCAGCGAAGATCCATCTGGAGAAACAGAGAATGACAGGGAGCAGGAATTAATGGTCAAGAGCAACAGACTGGAAACAACACAGCACACTGAAATCCCTGAGTCCTACATACATCATCCCACATGAACATAAGGTTTGGGACATGACAAGACTCCTCTTCCCCTGATAAAAGATATCTATTAGTTTATAGGAACGTTGTGGTAATTTTAAGAGTTCTAGAAGTCAGCGTTAAAGTAAAATTTAGGTAGTGAGCATTGCAAATCAGAGGAATGGCCCTGGATGAGCAGTATTACCTCTACCAAAAAGGAAAATCCTGATTTTCCTGCATTTTACAGTGAGTTGAGCTCGGACTTGAACYAGTTGCCCAGTCTACCATTTTTTGGTTAATGTCTTCAGGGATGGTGATGTACGGAAGTCTGGATTTGGGCTAATCCTCATTTTCACTCGGCAGTTTATGTCATGGGCATTTGAAAGAAGGAAAGAGGAAGAAAACTTGGCTATCCTGACCCACTGGCATTCAGCAATAAAATCTTGCTCTCTCAAAACACACATGTGCACAAACAGTGCTTGAATTATCAGAAAACCCTCCAAAAAAACACACAAAGGGAGTTGCTGTTTCAAGATCATGAGCAAGAAAAATGCAGTTAAATTTTGAATGTTGGGGCTTAGCACCTCCCCTCCAAGACAGGACTGTATATACTCAATTTTCACAGCCACTTAACATCTACAGTCCCTGTTACAACTCAGAGCTCAAATGCACTGGTTTGACACAGAAACTCGCTCTTTCAAGAGATGGTGGGGGGAAGGACTATTTCAAGAATGCTCTTGGGCAAAGCTGAGTTTGTCCCCAAAATACTCAACTTTCTAAGTACAATAACCCTTGCTCAGCTTTACCTACAGTTTCAGGAATGTGTGTTGCCTTTGTACTTTGTTTCTTTATCTGCAGTCAATCTCAAACTCCCACCTATATTTTTTATGCTTTATTATGCAACAACTTGTAACAGCTGTTACACAGACATGTTACATGTGCTTGGGCTACCAGTTTTCTATCAACTCATCTGAAACATTCAAATGTTACGAGGAAAGACTGGGCAAGGATTTTTTTCCATAAGAAAATAGGTTGAGGTCATTAAAAATTACCAGGATTCAGTCATGATTTACTGATGGAAACTTCAATTCTGTTATCTCCGAGTCAGGTGAGCTGCTGCCACTTCTATCGCTGTAGGTGTCCCTGCAAAATCAGAAAGTTTTAGTATATGGAGCATAAGTTGCTTTACAGACCTATCTTTGCATCGGGAACTAGAGGGCTCTGGTAGTTGGTTAAGGTTCTGGATGAYGCTGCTGTATTTCTGTCTTTCTTTGGAGCTGCTAAGCACTTGATAAATTCCTAGGAAAGTCAACATGCGTTTTCAGCAAACATCAGGGAGTGTGGAATGAGTTTTGAACATAATCTCTGTAACCACTTTAAGGATTTTTGGAGGRAATAAATAGTAAGATAATACAGAAACAGAAGGCATACAAAGTTCCTATAGTTGTCTCTGTATAGTTGGAAATATAGTCCTGTATAGTTGGAAATAGGGCTCAGTTACAGTTACTTTTAAAGTCTGTGTCTTTTTTATAAAGTTTTTAAAATTATTTTATATATATTTTAATATAAAGTTTTTATTAATCTTTATAAAGTTTTTAAAGTTTAAAAAAAGACTTTATAAAAACAAAGCTAATCCACATGAATTTCAATAAATGGGAAACAGGTGTCTGGTTAACCATCCACAAGCCAGTCTGTCTTCTCATGCTTCCCAGTAATAGCCGATTACCACTTAATATCTTTTTTATTCTGAATCACAGAATAATTCAGATTGGAAGGAATTTTAAGACAGCCACAGAGCAGGTTCAGATACCAGATCAGACCTGGCTACTCAGGGCTTTATCCGGTCCCATTTTAAAAACCTCCAAGAACAGAGACTGTATCGTGTCTCTGAGCAACATCCTTCAAAGCTTATCTGACCTCATGGTGAAGATTTTCCTTACATTCAGTCAGAACTTCTCCTATTTCTATTGATGTCCATTATGCTTCATCCTCCTGCCATGCACATCTCTAAAGAGCCTGTCCTCAWTGTCTCCATAACCCTTTGTGGGGACCAACAGGCTGCTATTAGGTCCCCTCCAAAGCCTCCTTCTGGCCAAACAAGCCCAACTCCTGCACCCTCCCCTCAGTGGGCAAGTGCTCCAGCCCCCTAATTTTCTTGGTTGCCCTTCAATGAACTCCCTTCAGTTTATTGATGTCTTGCTTATATTGAACAGTCCTCGAATGGCCAAAGGATTCTATCAAATGTCCAATCACTTCCTGCGAGGTATTAACAACAKTCGTGCTCCCGTGTCCCTGTCCATACAGCCCAGAACGCTGCCGGCCTTCTTTGATGCCAGAGCCCGTTGCTGGTTCAGGTTCAGCTTGCTGAACAACCTTCATGGGCTTTTCAGCAGAGCTGGTCCCTAGCTGCAACACGACCCCAGCTGTGTTACTGCAAGGGGCTCTTCTTATCCACAGGCAGGACTTGGCATTTTCCCTTGAGAGGTTTCCTGAAGTTCCTCCCGTCAGCTCATTTCTCCAGCCTAGGTCCCTTTGAAGGGTGGCTCTATCCCGAGTGTATTGACTGTTCCCCTCAATGTGGTGTCATCTGCAAACCTTATGGGAGTGCAATGATGAGACTTCGAAAGCTAATGAGAGTTTCAGTAGCACAGGAATAACTACAAGTACAGGCTGACCTAAAAATGCCATAAATACTTTTAGATTATGAGCTAAACATGAAATATTCTATTATCACAATGGCAAAAAAACTCCCCCAAGAATGCTCCAGCAGGGAGAAAAATTAAACCSCTCTGCTGCAAGAAGCTATTCCAACCTCCACGTGCAAAAGCAGGAAGCTAAAATATCCCTCAACCCTGACAGACTTGAAATGAGGCATCTCATTTCAACCAGGGCACATTCTTTAAAGCAACAAGTTTCTGAACRATCAATCTGTACTTCGGATTTGTTCAACAAACATGGAGAAAACACTGTGAGGTCTCCAATCACCTAGAAAAGCAGGCCYAGCAGTAGTTTCTGCAAACAGTGCAGTTCCCAATAGGAACTGAGAATCCCAGTTCCCACTGGGAATTCTGCAAAGATCTGGTCTCTCTGAAGTCAAGACSTTACTGTGGTGTAGTGCGGCTCTATGGCAAACAGTCAATATTAAAACACAAAACAGTAGGTTTCAATGAAAGACAGCAAGAAGAGGTGCTGCAAGAACAGTTACTTAAGAGTCCAGYCGACCCCGTTCTGTGCCAAGAGGATCCTCTCGATTGTATCACAGGAAAAGGCACTGCCCTGGGAAACATCAGATGGGTGGCCTTGTTCAGCCTACCTGGGTGACAGTCTGCAGCCCTTCTGCAGATAATGTGTGAGCCTCCCAGAAGATGCCAGGAGGAGGCCGAAGTATGGCGGAGATGGCTTGATTGGTCTAGAAAGGAACTCGGGGTGATACTGCACACCAACGAAGAAGGGATGCTCTAAAGGGAAACCAATAACACACAGACACGTCATGTCAAGTCTCTCCTTAAATCTGTCCTTGCTCACAAAACCCATCTGATAACTACRGTGAACTGGTGTTTGGGAGGCTACTTTCAGTGCAGCTGAACTATCCACTTAGTTCTGCAGTAAAGAGTGCTGAACAAGTTTAAACCCAGGTGATAGGGAGGAATTGTCTTTAATATTCTGTCTCTTGTATCTAAATGGACAGGCCCATGGGATTTTTTTTTTTTTTTGCTTTTTAATCAGGATATCATTTTATGGATGGCACAGTTCTGGAAAAGAACATGGACTGGTCCTTGCTCTAATTTAAATACTTCAGAATCCAACCACATAGGACTCACCATCCAACTCAACCACTTCCATTCGCTCTCCCTCCTCGTCCTGGCCTACAAATTTCAAACCTTGCTCTTCAAAATGGCTCTTCAATTCTGGATTGACCTAGATGACAAGAAACAGGAAAATCCATCATCTCTAGTGCGCTTGGATTCAACAAGAAAAGCATAAAACTCAGAATAGCATTTTTACCTCAAATCTGTGTCTATGCCTCTCTTCCAAGAAATCATGATCCCCATAAAGCTTTCCTACAGCAAAAGAGAAGTTACCCTCTTAGAGTAAATACCAAGCACAGCTCATGTGATGTCAAGTTTTAACAAGTTAACACCACTRGCATCCAGAATCTGCCATTTCCAGAAGGGACCAGATCGACTGATGGTCATTTCATTACCAGATCAAACCCACCACCACCTACTATGCAAGGATGCTTCAACACTGGCTCATTTCCTAGGTATCACTTCCCTATACCCACCATCCAGGCACCTTATTCCTAGGAGTCACTTCCAAGAGAGGTAAGAAATGCCATACTCATGATTGAATTCTTGGTTTGGAAGAGGGTTCTTCTCTTGCCAAGCCTCATGGTCCCACCCATTTGTCCAGGATTGTGTTCTGGCATGTCTATAACCTGGGGAAAGCATTCAGAAAGGGAGTGTAACTGAGAGCGCCATAACAGTCTCTGGCAGATTCTGAAACATTAACAGGAAAAAAAAAAGTGAAAATCCACACAGAAAACAAGCAAATCAACCCCCAAAACACTGTCTTGACAAGGCAAACCAAGAGAACCAGATTAGCAACTGAGACTTATTCTAATAAAAGCTGTACAGAACATTCTGAAGGCTTGCAGGAATTTGGGAAGCTTTAGCATAAGAAATGGTCTGAATCAAAGCCTACAAAGATGTTCTGATGTACTAACAATGTATTGTTTGTTAAACTAAAGGTTAAAAAAAACAACTTCAAAGAACTAAAAYGGCAAAATCAGAGACACGATAAATAACCTCATAAGCGTGTTCTTTGGAAATCTTTCCCTTTTGAAGTAGAATTCTAATTTATAGTCGACGCCAGACAATGTGATGGGATCCTGGCTGAGGCATATGCAGCCTGCAATCTGAGAACTCCAAGTATAAAAACCTGGCCACACACAACGTTTTTCAAAGATTTCATGTCTGTCTATGTTAATTTCTAAGTTTATATAAACACTGTTAAGCAGTGAAATTTGGATATCACCAAATCTTTCCTGTTTACTCTGTGAACCTTTTAGCTCTCAGAAAACCTATTATTTATAAAACCTACCTATTTATGAAAAAACATAAATTAAAAAAAGGGGTTTACTTAAAGTAAGCACAACAAYTGTAAGACACAGCAACAGCCTCGGGGTTATTTAAACATTTTTAAAACCMAAGAAACATGCAATCCAAGCTCGTTTCTGTACCAGCAGAAAGAAGTCTAGGGAAGTAGGGATATTACGAGCAAGTTACCATATACTCACCACTGGATGTGTAGTTTTAGGGTCAAATTCTGTGGAGTTAGCATCTGAAATGTTATATTTATAGATTAGAAGTGCAAAATCCCTCCGAATTCAGTGTGTGTAGGGCAGCTACCCAGCTACTGCTGTGTCTCACACCCACATGCCTGGCAAGTGGGTAGGAGTCTCTATCAGCAGTTCGAGATGAATTTCTGAGGTCGCCCACAGTTTGCAGTATTAGGGAAAATGCTAGTGATAACAGCAAGATTCACAAGGGCTGATGGAAGGAGTATGCATGCAATAGCTTTCAGTATCTYAAAAAAAATAGGGAAGGAGAAGGGAAGAGAAGGGCTCTGAGACATTTTCCCTCTCCTTCACTACTACTGAGACTCAGAACTAGGTCAAGAGACTAAATATAGAAGACAGTAAAGGGASCGTTGGCAACAGGAACTTAATTCAGGCAGTGGAGCCCAGAAAGCAACTGGGCTCTCCAGCGCACGTGCAAGTGCCTGGGCAGCTGAATTGCTTTTTCATCTTCTCCCTGCTGGCTGTAATGTCACCATACACATGCAGGCATGTTACATGTGAATTTTAACAGTTAAAATCTCCCTACCTATCAAAAATAAAAAGCTACAGATACAACTCAATCAATTAAAAAAAGACATAAATTTACAAAGGTTTCTGTGCAATTACCTTGCCAGCCAAGAACACTGCGTGCAAATTCCACAACGGCCAACTGCATTCCCAAGCAAACGCCTGCAGAAGGAAAGGCAGAACAAGCATCAAATCAGGACAAGGACCAAAGTGCCTGCACTACAAAGCAAAAGCACCTTCCCAGGATAGTCCTGATGCAGAGGAAGTCTGTGGCAAGGGCTTTGACTGGGACTTGTTCACACTGTTGCAGGTGGTTATGACAAGTTACCCCTCCATGTCACACTTGTACCTGCSCTCTGATGTGTGTAACTGAACATGATGGTTGTGTTACCCAATTAAGCTGAGCATAGAACAGTGCTTTCTTCAACCAATTACCTTCCAAACTGTACAATTTAGATCCTAATGAAAGTCAGTAGAGTGTAGAGCTCTTGCTGTCAAGTTAGACATTCAATATCCATTTTATTTTAATTTAATTTTATTTTACTTTATTTTATTTTATTTTATTTTATTTTATTTTATTTTATTTGGTAAAGGCACACCATGAATATAGTGTGCAATTCTGGTTTCCGTAGTACAAGAACTTCTAGAGGGGGTTGAGTGTAGAGCAACAAAGATGATTAACGGACAGGGGCATCTATCGTATGAGGRAAGACTAAGCAAACTGGGTCTGTTTAGTCTGAAGAGAAGACTRAGAGGGGATCTGACTAACATGTACAAATACCTGAGGACAGAACGTAAAGGGTATGGGGCCAAAMTGTTCTTGGTGGTGGCCACTGATAGGACAAGGAGTAATGCGTATAAATTAAAGCAAAGGAATTTTCATCTCCATATGAAGAAGAAGTTCTTCACTGTGAGGGTGCCAGAGCCCTGGAACAGGCTGCCCAGAGAGACTGTGGAGTCTCCTTYGCTGRAGACCCTCCAAACCCGCCTGGATGCCACCCTGTGCCACGTGCTCTGAGTGTCCCTGCTGGAGCAGGGGCCTTGGACTAGATGATCCCTAGAGGTCCCACCCAACCTCAGCCATTCTGGGATTCTTATGGATGAAATTTCTTTCTCACCTAAGAAGGGTTTTTTCTGTTTTCTTGCCCAGGAAATAGCTTGAATTTTGCCTTCTGTTCCTCGAACGCCAAATCCCCCAGGAACCAGGACTCCACTGCATAGGGAGGAAAGGCTGCATTCARATGGGTCCCACCGGCATCTCACCCTCTGACCCTGTATCACATCCCTTCCATAAAACCTGGAATCTACAGGCCTAGGTGATTCACTGTTGAAGAGAGCCTTAAAGCGCCCTAAGTGACAGGGCCTGTCTGCAGGACAGCTTCTATATAATCTCATGCAAGCTGCCACACAAAAAAGGGCAAACAAATAAAATTCAGAATTTTCAAGGAAATTTTTAAAAGTACACATTTAACCTTCCCATGAAAGCAGGCTGTAATAGAATGGTTTGTGTTGCATGACTCACACCTCCTCTGCACTGAATGTATTTGAAAACTTCTCACCCAGACTGGTGAGACTTTTTCAAAARCTTATGCTGCACTGAGATCCCTTTTCCTCTTTTTGCTTTATCAGGCTTTGCCAGGACCTATCCTTTTCCCTTATTTGCTCTCACTTTCTGTTTCCTCATATTCATAACCACCTCCCCTGCTGCTGCCTGCTTTGACAACCTCTTTCACTTATTTGATACCTCTCCTAAATTTTACAACTTCTTCTAAATCTAGCATGAGTTCTCTGGGGCAGTGACAGAATGTGTTGGCCCAGTGCCTAATAAAAGTGTGTTTGGTAAATCTCATAATTCAGAAACTGCCAACAGTAGCAAGTTTAGCAGATATTGCTGGAGGAAATGGCCAGATTCTGACAGTCTTTCTTACTCAGCACCGCACAGCTTCTGCCAGGCTTCATGGTAGCGGACAGGTTCTTCCTGCAGAGTAGCTGGCTCCAAGTCAGCAGAATCAATATACTGGGGAAAAAAAAAAAAAATCATTAAATGACGATGAGACATGGCCACAAGTGTGTAAATACTAACTTCTCCATAATTCTTACTACATTAAGATATAATTCCTGCTGGACAGTTCTGGACTGTTTCCTACATGTCATACATGAAGTCCTCAGGATCCAGCTTCATTAAGTGCAAAGCCATCGATGAAACTTCCAGAGGGACTGAAGAGCAAATAGGATATTGTGAAGTATAGGCTGTTTTAATTAAAGAATGCTATGATCAATGTTATGTATAAAGAAAAGCACAGATTTTCAAGTTCTCCAGTATCTCAGAACTTCTGGATGTTTCGCCCTTCTGTTAACCTTKTAAACAACTGCTTTCCCCCCGCCTTTTTTTTAAGGCTTGTAGTTTTGCTAAACAGTTTTTTAACCTGACATAAGATCTTCAAACACAGGACACRAAGAACCTATTCCCCTTCTAAACCAGATAAATACAGTTTTGTCATGAACTTCTCATAGATACATCCATATACTCTTGTCCCAAGTCTAATAATATCAACAAAAAAGAAAGAAGAAAAAAATAGAGCAGCTTAAAAGGTAGACTTAAAACACTGCTGTTACAAATCAAGCACCTATTTCCATGACTCACTGGCATAATRAATCTACGTGCACTTAAAAGAAAGCAAAGTTTCAGGCAACAAAATATCTATCTATGATCAAGACCTTTAAAGTATTTGCGCTGCCAGGCAACATTAAAACCTAAATCCAGCATGAAATAGAAGCACAATATCTGACAGCACCACCTAATTAACAACCCTAGAAAAGGATCACTTTCAGCAACTATCACACATTAAAGCACTAACGTCCTCTTCAAATATATCCACTGCTGTATCACAGTTCAACAAGTAACTCTGTGACTGAAGAGCTCTGGTCAGTTAGACACCTTGTACAACTTACCAGATGAAAGCTGGTTTATTTTTGCCTGACAAAAGGTTTGGCTTATGGATTTCTGATCAACCTATTTAAGACGGATGGCACTATGGATAGCACTATGGGAGGGAAAGAAAAACATATATGTATGTGTGTATATATATATATACGCACCTTGATGTCAAGTTTGTGGTTGATAGCCAGTGCAGAATGTTCCAATGCTTTAATAACAGAGGCGTAGGAATCTGAAAACTTGGTGTATTTGCCAACAAGCGCAATGGAACATGTTTCAAGGAGACGGTCATACCTAAACAAACAAAAAAACTTGGGTTGTTTCATCATTAACAGGAAATGCTGGTAAGACATGGCTTAAAATCTATTCAGATTTTCAAGCAGCATAAACATCTGAACTCTTGAAACTCTGCCCAACTACAGATACAAACACTTTGGAAGACCTGACTATATATCTATATATATATGACATAATTGTCATAATAATTATGACTTAAACACATGAACAGACATAGAAGAAATAAAAATCAAAGACAGAGGAAAAGAGTTCCAGAATGTTACATCTAAATTATCTTCTGCCTTACAATACACTGAAAAACAATTTTGAATAGATCCCGAAACAGTCTTTTCAATAACTTGTATTAGACTCAAATACAGTCTCAGGATCGAAGCACAACYCTGCATATGTTTGTATGGAATAGCCTCTTCCCACACTGCTGACTGAGTTCACTTCAGCAGCTAGAAATACAGAAAGCTCCTCAGAATGCCAATACTCCCTACATCTGTGTATCCTCATCAGCAGGAAGTACAGGATTTGTGCAGCATTGTCTAGAGCCATTCAACATTTGTTTCAGCGTTGGTGGGTCCATATGAAGAAGCCATTTACTGAGGGCATTTCATGACAGTCTCTAGTACAGGTGTTGGCACTGCTGCGTATAAATAAAAGGGTAGCACCTGGGTCTACAGAATGAATTTCTTTTAAGAAAGAAAGTACTTCAGGCTTCTGACAGGGCAGGGATGTTGATTAAAAAGACTCAGCTCACTATTTCTCCAGGAACAAGAAGCCTTTTTCCCAAGAGAAGACAGCACTGTATCCTAACAGTCTCAGGAAGAATAGTTACAAAACAGTTGCTCAGCTTGCCCGAAAGCATACTCAAAATGTACATTTTTATTGACACACTTAATGACACCTAAATAGGGATAAAAAGGGACTTGAACATGCCATCGTAACACAGATTCTTCCGTATAAAAAGAGGGGACAGAGCTATCTACCTTTTAGTTATTTCAAAGTCCTACTGACACAGCCAGTACATGAACAAAAAATAACAAGGAACACAGTAAAATGTCTAATAGGATTGGATTATTATGGCAATAACTTTCTTTCTTTCCCAAAAGCAAAGCATCTAGGAAGCAAATGGATTTAAAAAAAAAAAAAATTATAAGAGTACTGAGAGTACTGGAAGAACATGAAGTAACGTTGGTCTCCCAATAATCAATGACCTGAAAACAGAAACTAAGCTGCAATTTTAACCCAACTGTTGAGCTCACCTATCAGCCATTTCCTTCCACTTCATGAGCATCCTCCTGGGCTGCCTCTCAATGGGAAGGTAGAGCCTGTGTCTGAAGTAATCAACAACTCCCTGCTCCTCTAACAGCAGCGGAACCCGGTATATAGAAGAGACATCATGAACACAGATGACCTGTTTGTAAAATATGAATGTTGTTAAAACAGATCCAAGCACCTATGAAGTTATTTTTAGGCAGATATTCAGAGACCTTCCATCTCTGGAGGACAACCATATGACCACTTCCATACTTCCGCTAGGAAATAACATCTGTTTCACTGTCTCAGTAGCTTATCCCTAGTTTCCATATACTTGAAAAGGTCTCCCATTACTTCTTCCCAAGCTGTTTGAATTCCCCGAGGTCATGACTGCTCACTGGATCGTTGGGAAGGGCTATGACAGGTCAATACAGCAACAAAAAYCAGCTGCTGCACAAGTGCAGAGCCATGTTGAACGAACACAGAATCTTTTCTCATGTGTTTTTCTTGTACCTCTAATTGCAATCACAATTAAACTGACAAGTCCAGCCACACCAGCTGTTCTTCATTTCTCTGCCTGAAGAGAAAACATCAACTTTTGGGAACACAGGTCTTCATACCTCTAGAATGACACCTCCAGTATAAACAGGGTCCTTTACCCACCATTCTTGATTCATCTTGGCCTTGGCTCCCAGTTCGATTACAGACTGGGGAAATGAATGATCTCAACTGAACAACTGCTTTGTCAGCTTGTCATTTATCAAACTTAGGTTTCAACATATAATTTAAGTGTAAGTCACTTTCAGGCCAATGAGGAATATTTACTTCAGCASCTCTAGTTCACTGAGGTGGACTTCAGCAGAAAAGGAAACAGGGCTGGACAACTGCCACGTGTTCATCAATAATGCAACTGTACTTTAAGGATCAAAAACATCCTGGCACAAATATTTTCAAATCTTCATTTCTCCTGACTCAAATGAAAGCAGAGCTCAACTCTCCACTGCTAAAACACCTGAAAATGCATTTTTTTCTACATTGTCATCAGTAGCATTTAATTCTCAGAGAATTAGACACACCACAATTGGAGGAAAAAAAAATGTAAAACTGTACAAAATTCTTGTAAAGTGACAGACTAGAGCCAATTTACTTACAACTGCTGCCCAACAGAAGGTAGTATAGGTGGATAGTGGGCTGATGACATACCAGTATAATTGCTAACTAATTCTGAATGTAAAACATTCGAATTTGAACTTACCTTATAGCAAATGAATRAAAAAGACTAACTAGATCATATAATTTTGAAGTGGTATTTCATATTTCACAGAAAGACACAATCTTACAAGCTACAGCTTGATTTCAAAGGCCTAATTCAGTCTATACTACACAAGTTACTTTTGGTATAAAAAGAATGACACTAACATGAAATTTTACATATCATGTTACATTCAAGGGAAATAAGACTCCTTTTAACCAGCATTTAAACTTTCCTGTACAATTTCTTCTTGGGCAGTCTTGGGCAGAAGAATAATATTGTGAGAGAAGCAGTGAACAAAATACATTCACACATCCTTTTAATTTAATTCTGGGCAAATGCTCTTTGGATTCTAAAATACTGAAAAAATCTCATTCTTCTGCGTTCACAGAAGGTATTTGGAAAGGTAAGCAAGGTCTAAATCAGCTACTGAGAACATATCTTGGTTTCCATAAATTGCTCTAAGCCTCCAAGAGTATGTCTGCCTATTCAGGGAAATTGGATGCTGGAATAAAAGGAGTCCTTCTATATTGGGTACATATTTAAGGAATGCAGTAAGGTAAACAGGCAAATGAATTATGYAGTTAAAATCCACGTTAGGCTTCAGGTAAAACTCCACAAACAGCTAGAATTTTTATTGCAAGGAAGCGTAGGGTAGACAGTAATCGTTACCTGTTCTGGTTCAACGTGACAGAACATGGAAATCTTTTCTTTTACTGAGGTATCCAAAGGAGTGGAGCACCTGCAAACAATCTAACAGAACAGCAACATCAAGGCTAAGTGAAACAGAAGTATTTAGACAGTCATATAACAAACCTCTAAAATAAGCTGTCTTTATTCAAAATCTCCATGACGGGGGCCTGGGGGGGATGGTGATGGATGGTTACTTGTATTTGTTTTCGTTTAGTATTTGTTTATTACCATAATRCAAGAACCCTTGACCAAAGCACTGCGCAGACAAGGAGGTTGTTGCAACATGCCARGTCTATATTTTCAAATTCAAAAGCATGTAGAAAATCTTACCAAATCTGGTGAGAGACCAAGACCCCTGAGTTCACGAACACTGTTTTGGGTGGGTTTAGTCTTCTGCTCTCCTGTAGAGCTGGGCTAGTCAGAAAAGAGCAGAATATTTTTAATACTAATTTCTGATGACATGTAGCAAAGATTTACCAGGTTACTCCCTACACCATTCATCATCTAAATCTTTGACTCACTCTTCAGATATTTCACATGAGCCTTGAATGCCTCTGCATAAAACCATTTTAATCTCAAGGACTGAAAGTAACAAGCAGAAACTAGTGCTCAAGTCTGCAGAGTCTGCTAATGGTCAAAGATATCAGGTATCTTAAGGTTTCTGCTCATCGCTCCCTACAAATACTTAATGTTTTAAACTGCTAAATTTCTCTCCCTAACTCATATGACCAGGACAGAAGGAGAAGGAACGAGGGGAAGAGAAAAAAACATTGATTAGCAATTCCATTGAGTTGCTGTTTCTACTCAGGCCCTCTAGCACTACTAACATAACCAGAAAAAATTACTTTAAGAAGGAGAGATTTTGGGGAGACATGGGAAATTATCTTCAAAAATAGGGCAGTTAATAGAGATTTCCACAACCAAATGAGATTATATGAAACATTTATATAACATAAAACACTTTAATGTGTTTTTGGTATTAATCAGAGCTCATCTCAAATAACTGGAACATAAGAGTATTTTATAATTGTTTTCGATCTCTATTTAATTTGCTTGATATCACATTACAGCTCCTAAATACCTAATTAAAAAAGGAAAATCGCTATAGCTTATATAGTGGTCAGATTTGAGTTTATGAAATTGCTGTTAACAATCAAAACAAGAAGACAAACACTATTAAAAAAAATTATATTCCGTAACAGCATTCTGTTTTGAAATTACAAAATTAACCCAATYTAATTAATCAAATACAGACAATGTAAATCTTGAAGAAAGAACAGACTCTAACAGAAACATCAAAGATCTCCACCAAAATCTTGGAATATGACCTATTAACCAGTTCAAATGTCCATAAAATCTGGCTATTATCACTGAATTGTACATTAGCTTTATAGAGTCTGACTCTATAGAAATGAAGGGAAAAGGAAAGTTTCTTCACTAGAAAGCAAATTTAACTTCAAAAGCTAAGAGAAAAACACATAAATAGCAGTTAAAGATGCAAAACTGAACTTGCTGCACTCCCAACAGTCTATTAGGCAGTAATATGCTGTGGAAAGTTTCCTYTTACTTCTTGCAAATCCTTTTTTAACACATAATTATTTTCATATATTATATATATATATAATATAAATTATTGTATTTCTTCCAGAAGATTCTATATACAGAAATATAAATACAACAATATAAATACAATATAAATATAAATACAACTGTGTCTTTAGAGATACCATTTCTGATAATAAAAACATTTTAGGTCCTCACCTGGGGAACTAGACTGACATGAATATTACAAAAATTCTCTCTTTTGGCTTTGAACTGAAACTGGCGGAAGGCTTCAATGAAAGGCATGCTCTCAATATCGCCTACTGTCCCACCAAGCTAAAAACAAGCAAAGAAAGTTAGAATTMAACTTAATATCAAAACTTCCTATATTAAATTGCTATCTAAGACATTAAAAAAAAGGATCCTAAAACATCTCTCCCGCACATCCCTGTTTCCTCATAAGAGCAACAATGCTAGCATGAAAAGCACCACGATTTGCCAGTTGTACGCAGAATTTCAATGGTGTCCAATCTACCCTAACTACTGTTCTATCATTATGACTTTCCTGAAAGGCCACAGGAAAAATAGCTTCTCAGATGGCCAGGATTTCTACAGGGAGAGACAGAAACAGCTATTTACTTTCCTTCTATTCTCTCTTCAAAGACATAGATACTGAAATGCTCGTGAACCACTATCTCAAAAACCCCAAATTATCCTTTATGAACATTAGGTGGCACCAAGAGGCAGAGTTTCTGCTAGTTTAAGTAACTAGAAAACCTTTGCTTGCGTTTTGGACATATGTAGGAACAGAGCTGCAGACATTCACTGGAGCAGTTACAAGCTCGTGTATGTTTTAAAAACTAATTCAGGATCCAGAGTTAGAAATCCTGAACAGAAACAGAGGGAGAGTCCCACGTYCCCGTGACATGGGCACTGTGACAGCCGCCCTCTCTGCCACGTTGCCCAGTCAGCAGCACCAGCTTGGAGCCTCAGCCCTCCTGTATTTCCCCTGGCAGCCSGATGCTCCATTCAGAGCATCAGTGAGAGAAGGGGATTTGTCACCTCCAACAGGTACAGCTGCTTTTACAGGTCTGTGTCTAAGCTAGTCACTCCAAGGCTCTCTTTATTGCCAAGGAGGGAGGAAAAAATGCTGATTTACCTGACCTACCGCTCTCCACCAAGAGGAGGGCAGAGCATGGTTAACTCAAAGTTAAATGTATAAGGTATAAYGTATATATAATGTATAAGGTATAAATGTATAAGGTATAGAGAAAAAGAAAGGCATTCTCTAGGGTTAACTCAGCTTACACTGATTACACATATCTCAGAAAATAAGGAATCTGAAAAGTGCAAATGTCCAAGACCCCAGTCTTTTTCTCTGTGGTTTCAGTTACAAAGCATTTAAAACGCTACAGCAAATGYGAGACTAGCAAGGAGAATTTCGAATTAGCTCAACAACTTGCAGAACTGAGTATTATTGAAAAATATTTTTTATTAAGCAAACCTGCTGACATTTCAGTTTACTTGATTCGAGAAGCAAAATTATATATTTAAGAGTTACAGACCTCGATCACGCACACTTGGGGTTCAATGCCATCTTCATCTACAGGAATTCGTGCCTGCCTCATCACCCATTCTTGTATAGCATCGGTGATGTGGGGAACAACTGGAAAAGAACCAATGGGAAAGTTTTTAAAGCTACAACCGATGCACCTTTCTCTCTTTAAATTATTAAGCAAATGCCTGAAAATAATAAGCAGCACTTTCCAAATCACTTCAGTACTGATTTGTGCCTTTAAGGAAGAATGCATTTTTAAAGTGGTTATTCTTGGCTGTGATTTACAAGAGATGGGCCTTGGCAGGAAATGTAATCCTACTTCCATTTAAACACATGTAAGTAATGTTTCCTTTAAACTAGAAGATTCCAGTACAAGCAGTTCCATGCACTAAGCAGAGAGAATTATTCTATCTTTAAACTGTCTAAAAAATCTTTATCCAAAGCAAAAAAGGAAAAATGTTTAAAAAGTGAAGAGAGAGCCCTAATTCTCAAGGATCCTTTAGGTTTTCTCATGAAACGGCAGCATTCTCTAAATGATTTATAAAAAGAAATAACCATCTTGACCAGCCAGAAAATTGTCCACAAGTATATTAATGAGAAGGCTGTTCACATTTTTAATTTGCTGTCTTGGAAAGCTGGATCCAAGAATAGCATACAGGTTAAAAGCACTTTCAGGTTTTAAGGGTGCTACAGGTAACTTGATTTGTTAGGGCATACACCACTATCACTAACCTGGTATGCTTCCCTCTTCCTCTTTAAAAGAAAAAAAACCACAGCCGTAAGGACAGCACAGATCACACAAATACCCAAAGTTAAGATGAAATACAAAAGCGTTCAAGACATTAAAAAATGTAATATATTTGTAAGCATCGGAAATGAAACTACACATCACCTTGGACAGTTTTGCCAAGATAGTCTCCCTTCCTCTCCTTGTTGATGACATACTGATAAATTTTCCCAGTGGTCAGGTTGTTGTCTTTGGTGAGTCGGATATCAAGAAAGCGCTCATAGTTCCCGAGGTCCAGGTCCACCTCCCCTCCATCATCCAGCACAAACACCTCTCCTGCAGCACACACAAAAAGGCAAACACGTATCAAGGAGATGTGGTCCCCTTGGGACCTTGGGCAAGAGCTAGAAGAACTACACATAATGCAAGAGCTTTATGGCCAAGGYAAGTGTAGCAGTGGCTACTACAAGTCTTGCCTAGTGAAAATGACTGATATATTGAGAACTAAAGCCCTGCACAGAGGCAGCAGCCGCACAGATTGCACTGATTTAAGACCACGGTCAAGGCCTCCGAGAGCACCTCTCCGCTCTTTGGTCCTGGTGCTGGGATCGTTCCCGTCATCACCGCGGGGATGCGGACAGCTCGGCTCTGCGGTACAGTCACATGTGCAGGATCCCGAGCTGACACTTCCACCAAGGACAGGGGCTCGGTCCTTACCAGGCAAGTGGAGACCGACGGGAAGAGCCCAGAGAGCCGCCTGCGGCCCCGTCCCGTCCCGGCTGCCCCACTCACCGTGCTCATAGGGGGAGAAGGTGCCGGCATCGATATTAATGTAGGGGTCGATCTTGATGGACGTGACGTGCAGCCCGCACGACTTGAGGATGGTGCCGATGCTGCTGGCGATGATGCCCTTGCCGATGCCCGAGATGACGCCGCCCGTCACCAGGATGTACTTCATTGGCCTCCCTGCCTGCGGACGCCGCACGCTCACGGCTCCGGCCGAGCCCCCCGCCACGGCTGGCCGCGCTGCGGAGTGCCCGGCTGCCTGGGCTCCCCACCACAGCAAGGGGGCCTGCCCCCCAACCGCCACCCCCCCACCCAGGGTGCCCCCTTCCCCTCCGGGCCACCCCCGCCTCTCCGGGCATGCAGCGCCCGCCATTGCCGCCGCACGGAGGCGCGCTCCCCGCCCCCACCCCACAGCCGCCATTCCCGCCTGTCACGGAGCCGGCTGTTCCCCCCTGCCCGGCCCCGGCACACAGTGCGCTGCCCGCCGCTGCCCCCCGGCCCCGCCGCCGCCTGCGCCCTCC